AACAGGATTAGTTTTTTAACGTTGGCTACACAATGGAGAAGCCATAAATACTTGTCTGCTTGTGTATTGGCGTAAGTTAGCGTTGATATGTTAGTAAGCGGAGTCTGCATTGGATCTTATGACTACGTATTTAACCTTGATCTCCATGAGATATCACAAGACAAATTGGCATAAATGTAGTGACCATAAAGAAATAAATAATATACCATGGCATTCAGCTCACTAGATTCTGTCTTAAGACCATCGACTGATTTATGTCATAGCCACAATCAGCATATTTGTAATGTTTAGAATGGCTCTTCAAGCACATATTGCATTTTGCTTATAGATCATACTGTATACCGTGAAATGTTCAATGTTCGCCCTTTTCTTTGTATTTCAGATGGAGTGATGAACATAAAATATGTGTAACAGAACAAGGGCGAAAATAACCTTATTAGAAAATATCCCGGAATACAGTAAATAAGATAAAAAGAATTGTTGATATAATGGACCAAATTGACTAAATGTTAAATTATCACCGAGATTATTTCTAAATTTGCGTTCGACTTTTCTTAAAACAAATCTACCAAAATTGATATACTTCATTTTCCTTAAAAAACTGTTTGCAATTAGTAAAATTTGTTTTATTCCGATATTTTTCCCATAAAATTTATTGTCTTTGTATCCAAAAGTTTTTTTAAAAGCTTGGTCAGGTGAAAGATGATCTTTTAAATTCGTTCTGAAAAGAAGATCAAAAATTCTTTCTTATCAGTTTACTGCAGAAACAGGGTTCTTTTATAATCATTTCATTGCTTCCATTGAGCCATTTCTTCTCGAGGAACTTCAGTGTAAGCTTCCCTTATAATGTCCGAATCATCACTTGATGCAGACGAGTCATCCCACTTGTCATCCTCATCATTTTCATACAACACTATCATCTGCTTGATCGTCTGCCGCTTCTGTCCCTTCTCTTTCGGCGTCTTCCAGGGAATACCACCACTGTTGAGCAACATATACGGTGTTACATGATTTCAATAATGACCAGTCTAAATATAGTATCAATGCAATGAGATAAATTCTATAGCGAAAAAATAAACATTTTTACTTTATAAATACTAGTCACTTTTCACGAACACGTATGATATATGTTAATTTGGTTTAGCGCAAGGTCGAAGTAGTGTTTTTATTATATTTTCTACCGATGACACACCAGCGTGATTGAGTAAAGTACTGTATTTTGGTTGAAAACTTATAGATTTATTGTACTCGTACTGCTTAAACGAGTGATTAAACGAGGTCTATTAGAAAAAAAAAAAAAAAAAAAAAAAAAAAAACAATTATTTATAGGTGTTTGATTTCATATAATACGCTTTTCTGGACGAATGGGTAATCTCACGCAGTTGTAGTTTTTGTTTCCGGTTTTTGATAATATTTATTCCATGTAGATTTTTTTAAGTCATAAATGATATTGAAGATTACTATCGTTTACTAGCATCACAATTCGAGAAAACTGCATTTAAATTTATCATTATTTCATACATAGTTGTTTACTTAAGAAAAATATGTTAGAAATGAAAGTTGATAATCATTTTGCTTGTTTGTAAATTGGCACACTAAGTACACGACTTTCATTGTGTACTTGAAATATTTATTTATTGCATTTTTACACAATATAAGTGTAAAAATATTATAATATAAACATTTATAGAAATGTATATGTTGAAAAGGTAACTACCTCTCTGGGCCTCTGATTTCGGAATGTTGTCCGTGGTGTCTGATGGTTTCTTCAATTGCTGTTTCATCACGAGATTGCAATGCGTTGTTTTGTAAATCATTCTCTAGTGTTGGTTGACCAGTCTTCAACCAGTGGTATAATAGATTAGAATTCAAACTCATTTCACATAACAAATCTGACAATTCGTTGTCCTTAGTCCAGACATATCCGCCTGGAACTACCCAGTGCTTCAGGTCCTGTATAGCCCGTGTCTCTTTTGGTCCATAGTCGTCATGATGTAGACCCAATTCTCTTTTCACAATGGCGTGAGCAGTTGTTCCATCCTGCAAACACCCAAGAGTCATTCCAAGAGTGATGTTAATAGAAGGTTCGAAAGAAAAGGGAATGTACAGTGAGGAATCACTCGATATGGTCTCCAGTTGTTCCTCTGTTATGAGTGAAAGCACTGCTAATGTGACATGTTCATATGGTGGATGAACCAAGCAGTATTGCGTTCCCTGGTAAAGTGTGACCTCTTTGGAACCTACGTAGTACTTCAATAACTTGTCTACCAATAGGTGAAAGCACTGTAATTTGCTTACTCGACCATTGTGAGATGCATTCTTAACGTCACCAAGATGTCGTAAAATGATATTAGAACTTCTGTCTAACTCAATGCAAGAGAGCAGAAATTCCACAGCGTTTAAAGTTACAGTCCCTATGGACAAATCCATGTTCATGCTTGCGACCTGGCAATCCAGCAAACCAGGTGAGGGAACAATTTTCAGATTGATTCTTTCAGTGTGTGCCTGTCTTGAAAGTCTCTGTGTGATCATGTCTGACAATCTGTAATCACCATGCAACACTAAGCAAACACTTGATCCCCTTCGGGCGTAACATAAACACATTTCTACAATCTTAACGCACGTGCTGATTTCTTCATTACCGCTCTCATAAGCGAAAACATTAAGATCAATTCCATCGGGTCTTATATCTTTCAGGAATAGTTCAGTGACTGTATCATCGACCAAGAAAAATACACAATTTGACCTTCTGATTTCTGTTAAACTCTCCAAAGTGCAGTGTGCGATGGACATGATCCCAGATTTTACGATTAATATGTGTCCTTCTGTGTTTGATTGACAATCGCAACTTTCAACAAAGTTGCTAACATCACGGCAAATATCACTATATACCTGTGTAACACTGTGATTATTAGGTGTGAAAACATTGTTGTCACTAACGTCATCCATTCCTTTTCTCAAGTTAAAAGCATTTGATGTTAAATATCAAGTTGTTTTCGTTCATGCACAAACGTTAAGACATTTAGGTAATCACTTAAATGTTTTACAATGTATTGGTAACGGTCTGAGGCTTCCTGTTGATATCACACATCCGATAGTCTGGCGGAAATGTTTGTGTTAGCTATGGCGTTACTGTGTATTATCTGTACGTGCCATTTTAAAACTACTTTCAGAATAACTATATTTTAATTAAAATCGCTCGGCTTGAGGCGGTTACCAAATGTTAAGAAATGCGTCTATAAATACAATGTCACTCTCTTGGATAACTGCCCTAGGTTCTAGTTTTTATTCTATACATTATATGGGCATTAGAACTTCGTATATGCATGCTGGATTCACAATATTTACTTGTACTTTTTTAAAACTCATCTGATGTCTGATTATTTGTTCCAGTTAAACGACTGCTTTCAATTGTATGTGTATCTTGTGCCGAAGTGTTTTCAAAGTTTTTAACGATTTCAATATTTGTGTATTATCTAAAGATGCATTTAACATTTGAGAAATTCCATCATCATACAATGCCGTAGTTTGAACAACTAAATTATCAATATCTTATTCAAATAATCTGTCTCATGCTCTGTAGGAGTTATCTAAATCCGCTCGTGAAATTACACTATCATTTCAGTGCAAATGTTAAAGATTCAACATCTCCATTTTCAATGGTTTCCAGCATCCGTACGTGTGATTATTCCACTTCCTCTATTAAATCGTTTGGTGCAAACTTCGGAAATGAGAAAGGGCATTGTTTATATACTAGATAAGTAAATCTGTGACTCATTCGGATGTCGATCTAACGGAACTACACGCGTTTCAGGACATTTTGTGAGGCAGTGCTGCTGCAGATGGACTGATCGACACTAGGTATGTATGTACATATTGAACTGTGTCTGGGTTATTAAATGTATTTATTTTATAGGCAATGTTTGTAACAACAGTATAAAGGTTTTCATCACTTCGCCAGGATTAAACATAACCTTTCTACCTTCCACAGGGAATGTTAAACCAAATTTTCAGTGTTTTTTTTAAACTACCAAGATCTCTTATACTCTAAAAATTGAAAAAAAAAATAATGTACATAACTGGTCTAACTTCATTTTGATCTATTATTCCTGAATTTACAGAATACATTTGTTTATGTCAACAACCAAAGTTATTAATCTGAGGTGAACGTAATTGCTTTCGAGCTTTCCATACATTTTCAAGCACACACACACACACACACACACATATATATATATATATATCATGATATCCTCATGTTTGGGGCCTACATCTAAATTAAATGTGTGCTCCAACTTATTAAATTATATTTCAAGATATTAAGATTATTCAAATTTAAAACTTTATCCGTAAGTATTATTGAAACTGCTGTTACGTATAATGTGTGTAGAACCTTTATAACGTATAAAGCCTGTTTTATGCGGTACTAAAGTTTTATTTTGATATTGTGTGATATGTAACAGATCTTTATTATTTGAATGACTATGCTAGAAATTGAACCCGGGACCCAAGGTGTATTCTTAGACCCAACCGATCGAGTTCTCTAGCCAAGTGGTATATTGCGACTAGTATTTACAAGGGCTATATACATTTACTCCCCATTCAGGAAAGAACGAGTTCCAAGGGGTCACATCGATGCTTGTAGGGAATGGCTATTCTCAAGTCTCTACAAGGGACTCTGCATTTCAATGGCTCCACTAGAGATCAAACCCGGAATCTCTTACATGCTAGACTTCCACTTTATTGAGAAAGATATTTAAATAAACAGAAAGAAACTCCTTCTTGCTGTGTAGTATATTGCGGCTTATATATATGTAACTGCTTAAGCAGACTTCAATAATACGTCTACTTCACAGTTGGCGATGAATTCATGAATTAATACAATTTTACAGCCAAGTTAGTGTACACTAATTGAATTGCAGAATTTAAGAAATTAGATCTGACCTGAAATCAGGTATGAACTCATATGTTATGATTTTAGGTAAAAACGGACATAGCAAATGGCGGCGTCAGAAGGAATTGACAGGAAAATCGGACATGTATCGGGCGAAGAAGCGGACGCTGAACGCTGGGTAACTTTAGCGCGAGAAGTAAGTTCACAGGACAGAACATCGTCCAGTAAAATCGGTTCACTGACTATCATTGGATCAGGTATAAAGAGTGTGAGCCATTTCACTCTGGAATCATTATCCGAGTTAAAATCGGCCAATGACGTGTTCTTCTGCGTGGCAGATCCGGTAACCGAAAGATTCATAAAGAGGCTGCGCCCAGACGCTCTTGATTTGTATGTGTTATATGATGATGATAAGAAAAGGATCGTGACATACGTGCAAATGGCAGAATTTGGTCTACACCAGGCTAGAAAAGGTCGCCATGTCTGTATGGTCTTCTATGGACATGGTGGTGTATTTGTCCTTCCATCACAAAGAGCTCTTCACATCGCCAAAAAGGAAGGGATCCCAACGAAGATGCTAGCTGCTGTTTCTACAGAAACTTGTCTGTTCGCTGACCTGGCTGTTGATCCTTCTATTCCAGGACTTCAGACACTAGAAGCTACAGACTTCCTCATACGTAATCGACCCATTAATACTGACTTCCATGTTGTAATCTGGCAGGTAGGATGCGTAGGAGACATTGGATTTCGTCGAAAAGGATATCATAATGACCATTTCAACATTTTGATAGAAAAACTTCAAGAAATATACGGGAAGGATTATGAAATAATTCATTATATTCCAGCTCATTATCCTATCGCCTCATCAAAGGTTCGGAATGTTGCTCTTTGTTATCTTCTTAACCCAGAAGAAATGAAACAGGTGACAGGAGTGTCAACATTTTATATTCCACCAAAAACTTCAAGTCAGCTGGATATAGATATGGCCCTAAAACTGGGCATAATAAGAGAGGATTCTCCAGCAAAATCGCTTAGACCGGGACACCGCGTTATTGACGCTTATACTGACAAGGAAAAGCAGTACATCAGAAGTCTTGCTGACTGGGAAATTCCAACAGAATACTCATACGCCGAGGAGACAGAGCTTTCGAATATATTGACGGATCTTAGTCTAAACCCAGTTTTCTTGAGGCATTGCAAAGAGAAGGGATATCCTAAGCTGTCAGACAAGACCGAGGACGATGCGCTAAATTCTGGAAATCACGCACGGATCCGCCATGTCCTCAAACCTAGCACAACGGTAAAACAGGCACAAACGGAACTGGCTGAACAGCATAATCGGTCGAAAGGGTAAGCATACGATGTATTAGCTGTTGGATAATTCAATAATGCAAAATTAATTAACAAGAGGAAAGTGAGATCACAAACTGTGGAAGTTTATTTTGATTTTAATGTTTGTTTTTAATTATCTTTGTATAACTGATTTTGATCAGAACGACTCCAATTTGACACATAGTATTTTTACCTTAACTGTATGTCAGCCTTTTATAATTTCCTGTTTCAGAAGTTCGTAGATAGTATATCTATAAACATCATTAATAATCTCACGTGATAATTTTTCACGATGGGTGTATTTACAGTTGCGGTCAAACAAGGAAACCTTCTTATCTACGGAAGTCTTACATTCCAAAACATATCAAGCCTGTGTTCGTCTTCAACGACAGCGACGACGATGACGACGACGATAAAGAAAGCATTCTAGTGGCAGGAAAGACAGCTGTAGAGATACAAGTACCTCCAGACAGTAAACAGTAGTTCATAGTTTAGGAAGTGTATGATTATTCCGTGGCTCACCAACATACAAATGAAAAACGAAAATAACACCAACACATTAAAATCAATAAAGTGTGCCGCTTACTAAAATGACAGGTGCGTTCACTGCTTTCGTGTACTTCTCCAGTCCCAAACTGGTACACAATTCATCATAGGAATACAACTAAAAATCAGTCTCCCTAATCTACTTTCAAGGTCAATGTTATGTAAAAGTGGAATTATTCACCTACGAAACAGAAGCCAAAAAACCAATAATATGATTTAGAAGAATATTTTTCCACATTTTCGAAATACGCTGAATTCCTTCATCTATTTTCAGTGGAAGTCTTTCACTTCGTGACTTAACTAATTCAATCTCGTTACTTTAGATCCGAAAAACTTTTTTGTTAAAAGTCGATATTAGTTACGGACTTCCATTAAAGTGATGTTCATCATAGCCGACTAAAAGAGTTCTGTTCCTTTCAGAATGGTAATTCATGGACGTCTATTGGAGCCTTCAGTTGGTCACCACATAAAAGGTTTTCAGCAAATAGGAAACAAAGTATGTTTTAAGTAGAAATGAAAATGCCAATACATTATTGTAGTAAAAGGTATTTATTGTTGAAAACATAATTTACAACAGTGTACCATTATATGGTATCACGCACATACATTTGTAGGCAAGACACTTATAACTACAATATATGTTGTTATAGTCAAAAGATTAAGATAAATTACTAAGATCACCGTGTTTGGCACAAAGTGGCAGGGAAATTACAGTCATTTTATGGTATGTTACGTTAGTAACTAAAAAGTATAGCATGTGTAGCTTTGTATTAGAATACCTGACATTGTTTGACAAATCAAGATTCACATATTATCTTTATATATAAACGGCAAGAAAATACACGTCTACAGAAACATAATCCAGAATTAAAGGCCATAAGAGTTGGGCAAAATGTGAACAAAAGAAAGATTTACACACAGACTGAAAAGTACAAGATTAAGGCCTGGTGTTCCGGAAGGGTGAGTGTCTTCTGCTTCATCCATAACACCCAGCATGTAAACCTTGGTCAATCTAAGTATAATGTTATGTCCTCAAATTAGAACAAGGTATACACCAACAGAACCAAGAGGCAGACTAACAAACATCAAACATTTCCAGCTTCATGTCGTCTAAGTATAATGTTATGTCCTCAAATTAGAACAAGGTATACACCAACAGAACCAAGAGGCAGACTAACAAACATCAAACATTTCCAGCTTCATGTCGCACAAATAAATAAGATACATCTCTCTGACGACTGTAAAACATAATTTATATCAAGTGTCTTTATCCTATTCGATAACGTCAGATGTTTTCGACATCAGTTGATAGGCATAAATACATGTAAGATGTATTGTATCACAGAACTTAATATGAAATCTTCAATCAAACCTGTTATTACTAGTATCATAAAAGAATATAGTTTCAACACCAATAATTATGTTTATATATCTTTCTTCTTAATTTCTATGAAGATGTTTTCCAACATGATCACAAACTTAAAACCTCACTGGCAATTTACGATGTTGTTTACTTTAACAAGTAATTGTGACAGTAGCTCTAGGCTAATCTACATCTATTTGGGAATTTCCGTCAAATTCTGAATCCTAAGTCATGGCAACATTTACTGCAAAAGTATAATCCAAGCGGTCTTGACATACAAAAACAACAAAATATTTTTATGTGCTATTGGTCATATAAATTCAACATGGTAATAAGGCATTTTATATAAAAATTTAGCAATGAAGCTCATCCATAACAGATAAATATATATTAATCAACCATGAAAGCATGTAGGTCCATGTCTGATATAAACGTCTCATTTCCTCAACATACATACTGTTAACTGTAACACAGTCTACTCACCAATATTGAAAAACAGTGACAGTTCATTATCATACTAGATAAAAAAGCGATATCCCAGTGGGATCTTGGCACCCATCATTTGAGGATCTGTTTTCAGTTCTTGAAGATTTATTTTTTTTTTGTTGCAGGTGTTGTAAATGTTCATGAACTGGTCTTCATTGAATGTACTCAATGATGGCACAAGATATTTTTATTAAGCACCTATTAGCAAATATCATTTGAAAAAGATCCCAAAGTATTATTAGATAGCAGTCAGTTACAGGTGGATAATGGACATGGTCTTGAATCAATATGATAGAATATCGAAGAAAATATGCTTGTGTGAAATAAGCGTTGCATATACCAGGTATGCATGATATTCAAACTGAAGGTGGTTATTGACTCATAGCTGTAGGGCCATCTTGAATTCGAATCAGTCCAAAAAACGTACAATGCACAACTAGGGACCAAGGGGAACCTGCATATGAAATTTGAGAAAGATCCATCTAGTACTTTACTAGAAATAGCTGTAACAAGATTGTTCACGGACCGACGGACCACGGACGCAGGGCGATTTGAATAGCCCACCATCTGATGATGGTGGGCTAAAAAACACAAAGGGTATTTATTAGTTGTGCTACCAATCAAGGATACTTAAAAAAATTGGAGATACTGATATACATGATTTGATATAATAGATAGGAAACAGAGACACCTACATCATGTAAAAATATTATTCCATGTTACTCTCACATATATTAAGCATATTGCATGAATTTACATGTGCATACTGTATACATTGTATTACATGAATACTTTTCTATAATAACAGGCTAATGTATTTCTGATTAAAAAAAAAACTACTTGATTCAATGCACATACCCTATTCTATGCACTAAAACTAAAAATTATTAAAACAAGAAAATTCACAGAATTATGGTTCCCCACCAACACACTGCCTCACCAAGGCAAACCCATACACCAAGTATGAAGGTCAAGTGACTACCTTGGAAGTAATGCAAAAGAAAGAGCCCGGATAAACTTAATCATTGATGTAGGTCAAAGGTCAAAATGTATGTCAGAGTGACCTTCTATGGTGAACCTATACCTAAAGTATGAAGTTCCTGTGACAATTAGTGTCGGTGATATAGAGCTCAAAAAAGATAGTGAAAGGATGGATGAAAGGACAATGGCAAACTTATAGTTCCCACTTGATATACTAAAACCACAAAGCTTAGTGAGGACAAATAGAAACATCAAAATATAAAATAGTTTGTGAAAAAAACGGAATGAGTTTTACTCCTGTTTTGAACCATTCATAATTGTCCACAGTATTTGTAAATTATTTTGAACTTACTGCATCTCATACAAGACTTCAAAACATAGCATACAAAATGAAAATATCTTTTTTTACACAGATCAACAATTGAAACATAAGCACCATTTTGCCATAAAAACATGTCAGTACTTCACACAAACCCATGTAGTTGAACACCATTTATCAGACAAATCCAAGACACTGTATAAGTTAATATTCAATTATTGTTTTACTTCAAATACACAGTCAAAATGACAGAGGCAGTCCAATATCTTACCACAGACTACCTGCTATAATTTTTAATGACGATAGCAAATACAAATACAATGAAGCAGAACACAAACTAAAATATCTCCAATAACCCACTCCTGGAAAAAACAAAACACCTATAGGCTGTTCATGAAAACCTAAAATATGTATAAGGTATTGCACTATCAAATTATAGTCAACTTCAATGTTTAGATCACCCTGTAGTATTTCGCTGCATGATCATATAAGACTAGCTTTGTGGAGTCTATAATGAATACTAGACAGTTCCTTGTGAAAAAAGTCCACGTGCGTAAAACATTCTACTGATTTTATATGGCAAGTACTGACATCGAAAATATTGAACCAAATATGAATTAAATTATCTTAAAATAAGAATACAATATTGAGATAACAAAGAGATTAAATAATGGAATGTTAATAGTACATAGTGTCAACAAAGAAAGATCAACAATCATTGCACTGAAGGTATAACAAACAACAATGTGTCTACATCTGCATATCATACCTACAGCAAATGTCATTTAACAATTATCATTTATTTATCAAACAGTGACAAATGGATGTTATTGTTAGCATGACTAGTAAAACTTTCAAATGAATTCCAAATATATTATATATATAGGGTCCTAACCTATTGTTCTTCAATCAACCGTTGATCAATTTCTTCTGTGTGAGCCTAGTTAAGTATTTTGTTCCTCAACCAACAGGTATCTTATACTGATAAGCATGCACTACAACAATGGCTTCCATGATGATCACAATGCTAATTTGAAGAGGAATATGCCCCCACTGAAATGTACACATGTGCAACAAAAGTTAATACATTTTTACCACATCATACATAGACTAAATTACCTGCCTTAATTACTTTATTGTCTCTGCTACACTACATTTGTTGAAACTAAGACAGGTCAGGGCCACCATCTTGGTCAAAATTTTGACCAAATCAACGCTGATTGATCAATTCAGTTTACGAATCAATGATCTGGGTGGAGTCTCATTATTCCCTCTTGTATATGATGACAACATGTGATTAATAAAGTATTCGTAATAAGTAGGAAGCATTTGCCATGGAAAATGTATTAAAAGTGTTTTTGAAAACAATTTATTCCAAATCTAAGTATAATCTACATGTATAAATACCCCATTCAAAGCAGAAAGAAAATATTGATATTAATCTACTTTTCAAATTATTACTAGCAACATCCTTTGAGAAATGAATATTTCATGTCTAAAATCTCTACAATTGATTTCAGCAAAACAGTAATTTCAAACATTTAAAAGATCTTTGATTTTTTCATGGATCATTGGCAAGTAGCTAAAGCATAACTTGAAAATAAATTTGATTTAAAAATACAACTTAATTGATATATTTTAATTATAACAGTTTTATGTGCAATTTAACGATAATTCATGATTTAACGAAATTCAACAACATAGTCAACGTGGCCCTGAGGAATACCTTATTATCATACCTACTGTTCATATATGGTGTACAGTTGAACTGAATTTAAACCATTCAATTCAAAGTTCTTGACCTCAGAATGTCCACTGATATGGATTTTTCTTCCCTTTTCAATTTGCATTAACATGCAGTTCAGGTAAACAAGATGCCCTCCCATATTGGGGAGAACACCTGGCACCTTCCACAATATACAAACAGCCTAGTAAAGAGGTCTCTTTGCGTAGAGTTAATGATATATCTACACGGAGATATCCCATCCCCTTCATCATGATATCATCTGTGAGGAGTGAGCCTGCCTCCTCTCATGACTAATGAGACAGAATAAGATATTCTCCCCCTACCTGTCAAAAGAACATTTCAACAGGGAGATGAGGTGCCTGCACCCCCTGGGCCCCACTGACTGACATGGCTGTAAGTTGAGTTGGTTCGTTCTCCACTGCCTCTATGGACCAAAGCGTCCTGGAGATGAGCATTAGCCCGCTGCCTTACCCTCATCTGCCCTAGACTCTCTATGGTCTCATCTCGTTCAGCCTGGTCCTCTTCTATCCATCCCTTCAAATGAATCAGGTGAAAAATACATATACTTCAATGCTCTTTTGAATTTTTTATACACTCCTTTAGAATAGGCCAGTCAGTTAAATCATAATTTCTGGCATGAAAGCAAGTGTCTACAGGAAATAATTTCTTCTATCACTAAAGGAGAATTAAAATATATTTGTGTCATCCCAAGGATTAAATGAAATCTCATAAACTATAACTATACAAAATAATATTTTAAAAGTGTCATTAATTTGAAAAATATTCTAGCTTACCATTACAAATAATGTGCACTTCATAATTAATTGTATATTCTCTTAAAATATATACACTGTTCTCAATTTTGACAACTTGACAATACTGTAAAGTTAAATATTTTTTGTGGAGAACAAATTCTGTGCTATTTTATGAAAATTCTTTTTCACAGCTACCTTATGAAAGACAATGTAGTTTGCAGTATTAGAAAAAAACCAATTGTGGACATCCAAAAATGTGGATTTCGAGTACTCTCAAAATCAATGAAAATAAAGCCACCACAAAAATAGATTATTTTACAGCAATTATAATCTCTCCTAATCAGAAAATATTTCCGATCAGATTTTGCACCAGTAAAACATATCACACTATACTGATAATTAAAACTGGGAATATTTTGATTCCTTGATTTTACCGTGACTTCATCACTGTACATCCGTAGACTGAAGTCATCCTTCCTGCGAAATCTTTCTCCCCGAAATGTGAAAGGAGTCTGAAAGCACACACAATTCTATTTTAAAAAATTCCTAAAATCATGCAATTCTAGCTTTGCTCATTTTCTCAATAACAATGTACATACGTAAGGAGAAATAACAAGACATCACTAAAATGACTCGAAAACATCACAGAGGACAGGATCAATGTATTGGATGTTTATCACTAAACCTGTGTTATCTCAAGCAAACTACAGATTAAGGTACGTAGAAGACACAAACAGAATGATCACTTTCCTTACTTTTCCATATTTCTGAGACTTTCAAAAGCTAAATTGTAAAAAAATTCTATTTAAATTTTTTAATAATGTTATGTCGCACTGGACAAATAATAGAAAATCTTAAATAACTATGTTCTTATAATTTTCTTTTATGTTATATATACAATTGCCAATAATTTTTTAGCTACTGCCATGTAACATACAACATTTCATTTAAGAAAGCAAATTCTTCAACTATTTCAGCAAAACAAGTAGCTAATATAGTTACAGACCCTTATCTCTGGGTATTGCTGCTGTACATGTATGTGATGTCCAGTGAAGACAAGACGACGATCACAACACATCAGCTCTTCTTCCTCTGTCAAAGAAACCTCCTCAACGTGCTTTGAATGAGCTGAAATGATCATTAATGCAGAGTTTATTTCACTGAACAAACAGTCAAAGTCTCATGTTTTTTTATTCCAGTGAGCAGACAAGGTATTAGTCTCATGTCTTATTTCAGTGAGAAGACAAGTACATAGTCTGGTGTTTTATTTCAGTTATTAGACAAGGTCAAAGTCTTATGTCTTATTTCAGTTAGTAGAAAAGTACATAGTCTGGTGTCTTATTTCAGTGAGCAGACAAGGTCAAAGTCTCATGTCTTATTTCAGTGAACAGACAGTCAAAGTCTCATGTCTTATTTCAGTTAGAAGACAAGGTCAAAGTCTCATGTCTTATTTCAGTTAGTAGACAAGAACATAGTCTGGTGTCTTATTTCACTTAGAAGACAAGGTCAAAGTCTCATGTCTTATTTCAGTGAGAAGACAAGTACATAGTCTGGTGTTTTATTTCAGTTATTAGACAAGGTCAAAGTCTTATGTCTTATTTCAGTTAGTAGACAAGTACATAGTCTGGTGTCTTATTTCAGTGAGCAGACAAGGTCAAAGTCTCATGTCTTATTTCAGTGAACAGACAGTCAAAGTCTCATGTCTTATTTCAGTTAGTAGACAAGGTCAAAGTCTCATGTCTTATTTCAGTGAGAAGACAAGTACATAGTCTGGTGTTTTATTTCAGTTATTAGACAAGGTCAAGGTCTTATGTCTTATTTCAGTTAGTAGACAAGTACATAGTCTGGTGTCTTATTTCAGTGAGCAGACAAGGTCAAAGTCTCATGTCTTATTTCAGTGAACAGACAGTCAAAGTCTCATGTCTTATTTCAGTTAGTAGACAAGGTCAAAGTCTCATGTCTTATTTCAGTTAGTAGACAAGTACATAGTCTGGTGTCTTATTTCAGTTAGTAGACTAGGTCAAAGTCTCATGTCTTATTTCAGTTAGTAGACAAGGTCAAAGTCTCATGTCTTATTTCAGTTAGTAGACAAGGTCATAGCCTTGTAATAAGATACTAGATACAAAGTGTGAATTAAACTTATTAGCATCAAACAGTTATTTCAGTCTTCTAGGACTTATCAGTAGTGCTAAGACTCTACATTGTGAAAATATTGGAGGAATCTGAGGAAAATCCAACGAAAAGTCAACAAAACTTGGACTACTGATGGCTGGCAAACAGTGCGGTAAAGGTTACAAATGTGCTGTCACTCACCATCAATATCTTCCAGTTTGAGTGCTCGTCTATACTGGATCCGAAACAGGAAGAGCTCCAAGATGAAGGCCAGTACAATATTCATCACCACCTGGTATTAAATATACTTAACAATGATATCTACCCATATAAATAACAGACTCGTGGAAGTATACCCATATGGAAGAGATATGTGAGTCAGGATTTTGAATACCCAGTTAATCAGTAATTCATCTCAAGACACTTTTATGTTTTCATTTTCTTTTAATCTAATTTAGATTAATTGTAAAAGTGATGCTTAATTCAAATGACAAATTCATCATATCAAAATGAAATTCTAATTAAAAACAAAAATGTCAAACTTTATAGACAGATCCCTTCATTAATATGTTTTGTTTAACTCGAGTATACGTGGGTAATACAACGTATATCTATTTCACTGCTGACTTTAAGTCATCAAATCAGAAACTATAAGCTTGCTTGTTCACTGTACCTGTCATATGTCATATATGAATTATGGTTGTGGTTATTTTTACTCTCAAATCTAATGTTGTAACATTTTAAACAAGCTATTTCAATTAATGATGCTAGTGCAAAAAACATGAGTGCCAACTACAAAATAAAGGAAAACAGCCAGGAGAAGTAATTCAGATTTTGTTCCGCTTTAGTACCTACCATCATTACTATATAAAACAACATAAAGAATGTCCTTGATAGATCTCCAACATGGTGAGCATATCCTTCCTACAACAGACAAAAGTTAATGTCTATTTCTTACTCCATTTAAAAAAAACACCCTCATCAAATGAAAAAGATACAGAGGAAAATGAATGCCTGCACTCCCATGCAAACAACTATACAATGCAATGTCTGAAAATTTAACCTTGACCTTTCATCTTTAAAGATGACTGACAATCTGAGAAATTTATCATTGAATAAGCCCTATGTAAGCTGATGAGTGAGAAAATTTTATCATCAAATAAGTCCTAATGTTAGCACATATTCCCTGACTAAAAGTTAAGACTGGGCTTATTACACAACAAAAATTTTAGTATTAATAAATAATGCAGAACAAATAGATTAGACATGGAAGGGACAAGTTTATTGTCAGATAAATATTGTATCATTTAGAAATATTATTTATAAACAAGACACACTAATTCCTAATTAGAAATGACTTTAAGACAAAAAATTCACCAGCTCCAGAAACGAATAAGACAGACATCACTTTATTATATATCCTCATAAAATGGTTGGGGCTTGAAAATACAGAACTAATGGTACATATCATATAACCAATTGAAAGTACATGTACAAAATTATCATCATTGGATGAGAAATAGATTCTGTAACTTCTAGAGATAGTCTGTAGTACTTACCATGATTATGAACCAGTTGTTTACAACTGTTAATTCAAATAAAGAGAAATAGATTCTGTAACTTCTAGAGATAGTCTGTAGTACTTACCATAATTATGAACCAGTTGTTTACAACTGTTAACTCAAATAAAGTAACTGAAAATAAACACAGTAATGATGTTAAAACAAACAGTTGTTGAAATCATAATCAATGTGAATGAAAATGTTTAATGTTTTATTTTTAAAATTATTAAAATTTGATTCTGTAAAACGTGAAATGTTTGTGCATATCTTTTTGTGGTACAAATCTGAAACCTGAAATCTTACAATCTTCTGCACATTTTATTTTGTGAGTTTGTGCTACCAACGTTTTTACACAACAACACCTCATGCTATACAATAACAGTGGCATTATATGTAAGTAACTAAGTATAACAACTCCAGTTAATTAATTCAATATATAACACAATGATATACTTACCACCAGAAACCAGAATGTTCTCAAAATTATTGAGATAATAGTAGCCCTCGAAAAATGAGTCATTGCTGTACTTGTAAAAATCTTCCACACTGGTGTTCCTGAAATGTGTGAACATGTACCAGCTTAGGTATTACACCAAAAAATATATATCACAATACTAAAGTTGGTAAAACTCTCTTAAATTATGAATAACTGGTATCATAAGCAGCAGAAATCATGGACAAAAAGATCTTTACGTATACCTTACAATTTTCTAAAAAGTCCGAGGGTAGAGCCGCGTAGATTAGAGAATCAAGGCCGACTCAAAAATATCAATCACAACAAACTGGGGACAATTATTATTAATAAGCTTGTATGGCTATGTATAAAGTTAACACAATGATAGAATTAAAACACACAACAGATCTACAATTGAGTGTGTTTCATTTACAGAACACAAGCTCCTCAGAATGGAACACACAACAGATTAAATTGTCCTTGACACTGAACTTAACCATAGATTACGTGTTGATTCAGGATAAACTGCATGTCAGGTGAAAAGTAAATATTACAAAGCAACAAATGTTAGTATGAAAATCGGTTTTCATTATCTGTTTAAATTTGTGGTGAATAACTTTCGTAACTTTTCTTCACATGCAAAAAGAAGTTGCTTTACAGTATTAAACCATTTTATCAAATACGTGATTGTTAAATTTGATACGTACTTGCAGCAGTTCCTCAGATCGACATGGAGGAAGACTTCCATACCAATGATACTGAAGAAATAGTAAACCAAAACTATCACCCCAGCCAAACTGAAACAAAGGAATTGTAAACCATGATGCCAATAAGGCTGAACGTTACATCACAGAAATAGGTTCCACAATGCTGCTGACAAGACTTCTAATATAAAGGCTGTATGAGAAGACAGACCAAGTGGGTCTATCGCTCATTTGTTCTGACGGCTTTAAAAGAGAAGACTTCGATGGTGATGAAGCTGTTAAAAGATTTTTTCACTGTGACCTTGATAGTTAATAGCCCTTTATCACAACATGCCACTGGTCCAAATGTCATGACCCAGGCCCTCTGATTATTGAAGATCTTTTAATATCATTTGACCCCTGGGACCTTGAAAGTAGATCAAGGCCATTCATTTAAACAATCCTGTTCGAACTTTTTCCCAGCATGTAATTGGCTAACCAGCACCACAAAGCCTCTTGATTATCGAGAAGTTGTTGAAAGATTTCAATACACTTCACTCCTGTGACTTCCTGGTTAATGAAAAATCGCTCAAAGTTTGACAATATACAGAGGGACAGATGCTGCTGCTTGGATTGGCCAGGTGAACAAAAATAGATTCCACTGAACTGAATATCTTCCATTAACAAAGATATATCTGCATTATTCTTAATGGCGTTGTCCTAAGTCACTTTACTATAAAAATTGACAACAAACATCACCAAGATATTGAAAAAGGTTGATAATATGTTATTATCGATTATCTTACACTTACCTTAGCAATCGGTTTAATAGAACAAAGAATGTTCCTAACACATCTCTATATCTTTTTTTGATCTTGAAAAGTCTGAAAATAAATAAAAAAGAATTGTTCATCAATACCAACACCAAGTTTCTTTCAAATGTCAAAGAACTGAACACTAAGTTTAAGTTTAAAAATGCATATTATTTTGTATTTCAATTATACATAATATAAACATTTAAAAGGAAGACTGCTTATAAGCAAAGGTGAGAGACAGTTCTTTTTTCAGATCCTTGAAGGGTTTGTTCACATAACTCAGAAAAATTCCCATTTGACAGCTTTTCAGGTTTAAAATGTGAAAAACAATATCCAAGGGCAGCAGCCATTTTGTTACACATTTTAAATTCATTATTAGTGGATTATGTATCTCACAAATTCATAATAAGCACAATATTATATACTTCTGTTCAGTAAAATTACCAAAGAATTCCTTTCTTAATTCTTTTATAAGCTAATCCCTTGAATTTGACTATAGTGTCATGTTTGTGCCTTGGCATATTGCAGGATAAACAAAGAAACATAGATATCGGCATGAAAATGTATAGGACATTCAAAACATTCATCACAGGAGAATTTTGTGATATTTTTGTATTTTAAACAGTTTTCAGGATCATACATGTAATTCTGAATAACCAGTATTCTAGATAACTCGAGATAGTACTATTGAGAAACCTACCGCAACAGACGGAATGGACGTAAGACGGTAAAAAAGTAAAAAGTTCCGGCAAAGAATTCATCCATTACACCAATCACACAGGTAAAGGTTACAATAAAGTCAAACCTGTAACAGCAAGGGAGATAACTAGAAGGAAACATAAAACCACAAGTTCAAAGTTCCTCAATGATGAAACAAAAACATATAGAATTTACAATGAGTAAGATTTCACATTGTAGTTACACAAGTAATTTCACAAGTAATTAAGTTAGAGACCTTATCAGACTTAACAGTTGGAGTATAAATATTTTGTTTGCCTTTTAGTTCATTCTTCCAATAATCTCTAAAAAAAAAAGAAAATTATATGGATCATGTAGAAGTTAAGTTTTAACCAAGGCTTTTGTTGACACTACGAGCCACCTGTGTGTATAAAATGTACGTACGCATCCCAGCCGGTGGTGAAGTACTCCTTGGGACCTTTACCCAAGATCTTCAACATTGCTTCCACAGTGTACACTGAAAATAATTCAAACAATAGTGTTTGCCTTGTATCATTTGTTTGCATTACTGTTTGATTGAGTTATAGATGACGTCAAATGTCAGCTATGATCCTTTAACTTTGAACAATGACTTCTTTAATGTGATAAGATGTTGAACTTAATGTGTTTAAATGGGGTTAGAATGAACCAAATCTGTCAAGAGCTTTTCTGTATAGGACATAAATTCTGAATAGGATGTGATACGATGGAACATGGAAGGGGGATGAAGAGAGGGACAACATTCACCAACATTTCATACTCAAACCTTAAAGCTCATTTACAGTCGCAGTCACTGAGACAATCCATGCAACAGAGGATTATCCTTATTGTCGAAACTATGACCAATGTTTGATGAAAATAAGTTAATACTTACAGCATACAAATATGAATGAAGCCCAAGACGCCTGGAACTCATAATTACGAATGTCTACTCTGTTGACTGAAACAAAGATTGAAACACGCAATCAACAACATGAAGGAAACAGATCAATTGTATTGGCCCGAAAAACAAAATTAACAGAAATAAATCTGAAAAAAAAATGAAGAATGATGACAGCAACACTTCATAATTACAGATATCTGTTTTTGACCCCCCACCTCCCCACAAGCAAAAACAAAAAAAAAAACACAAAAAAGGTAAATTTATAAGGGGTCAGATTAATTAGATAATATGGATGCCATTTTTGATGACGAAAAAAAAGGAAAATTAACACCTCATTTGATTTACTGATTTACTACAAAGATAAACTTTATGTAAAGATTATATCTTATAATTCAAGCATTAAAAAAAACCTGAACATGTATAGAATATTAACGGTACTTTGAGTAAACTTTGCAAGAGAATTCAGAATGCAAGAAAGTTACTTTCATCTTTATCACAGATTTAACATGTCAGTAAAGAGATACCGTGAACTATACATACCCGACCATTGTATAGTTTCTATAAGAATCCATATAAAGTTGGCAGCAATCACCAAATCTAGTAACAGAAATGTATGTTGTCATCATGACACAGCTTAGAGTATTATTTCATAGCAGGATAGGCGATAGTAAAAAACACAAGTATTATAACTATGCGCTAAATAACTGTGCTTATAAACATTTTGGAATAGTTACAAACAATGAATAGGATATATATCTATTTTGGGCACTTTTACAAAATTATGTAATTATGTAACATAGAATATTTTAAAAATGAAATACTCCAGAATATTTAATACTTATAAGCCAAGCTGTACTTACATACAAAGCCTTCAAACCATTTCCAATTGATGAACCAGTGCAATTCTGAGAAGATAAACATGGATTTCTTAAAGAAAAATAATTAAATCTGAATGTGTTGAAGGAAAAAACGTATCACACCTGGCAAGCAACATTAAGTAGAAAGTTGAATTTTTTAGTGTGTGTTATTGGATGTTTAAAGGTGAATGAATGAATTAAGTTTAACGACAGATTAATTTTCTTTAATTCCCCTTGGTGTTAGCCAAGGCTTTCTAGTATTGGTCCTACTGTTTCTGTGAAAATCTCAATTAAAATTAAATTCTTGTAACTTCAAAAGCCATAAATGATCAATGAAACTGCTTTTATATATATATATACAGAAACATTCAGTGTCTGATTCGCCAGTAGTACATGGGGCTATACTTACTTGAGAACAGTTTGTTCCACGGAGGACGGAATTTAGAGGACCATATCTGGGTTTGTTCACCTGTTGGCTGAAAAATACAGGATGGTGCGGATCAATTTGATGATAATTTTCTGATTTTCTGAATCATCATTATTATGATTTTCAGTGAATAAAAGATAATCAATTATGATAAGGTAAAGATTTGACATTAAAAACACGAGAGACAGATGTGATATACACCTACAAACTTAAACCTCTTTACAGACTTGTTCTCTTGCACATATGATAAATGTTTTCACAAGGTTACTGACCCACTTTCATTTTCCATTCAATATACATTACATATAGTCAAGTAACATCATACTCTCCTATCAAAGAAACCATTACAAATATATCAATCAAGGTATGTTGGGATATTTTGTATTACACATGGATATATGACTAGCTTATCAACAATACATCAGTTTTAAGAAAGTTTATAAACTTTGAAATTCTTAAATCATGTGACTAGCAAGTAATACCTACCGACCACTGGAGACTGACAGTATCGTAAATATTGTAAAACTCATCGAGGCTGAGGGTACCTGTCATGGATGTGTTGATGATTTTAAAGGTTAAGTAAATCTCTCGTCGTGCTGTAATCAAAAAGACACCAAAAAATGTGATTGATATGTTTTTACAATATCATGATCTTTATTTTTCAAAACAAGAAAAAATATTACATTTTTATATCAATGATATTAAACCTTAAAAAACCTTGACCTTTAACCCCACCATCTGAACTTTGGAACTTCATCTTAGTGTCTTATACATGTGATAACATTTGTTGAACATCAATCAGATTTCAACTACAAATTAAGACCCCAAAGGCCAGGACATATCTAAACTATGACCTTCACCTTTTGATCAGTCTGTGCCAGTGACTTTAATTTGGTATCATAATCTTCTTTCTCTCTTTTTTGTGGTCATTCTAGTTCCACAATATTTGACACAGTATGTAAGAGAAGCTGTTAATTTTTAACTCCAGAATCTTGACCTTTTAATTATTGTTTCTTTTCACAAGCTTTGCAATAAGCCATCCACAGAAGTCACACACACAGGTCAAACGTCATGGTTCAGTGAGTTAGTCTATCGGTACTTCTTCATTCTCCTTTTTATATATGACTGTTAAATCACTTAAGGTCACTTTTTGTCCCAAAATTACAAGCAATTCATTCAGTAAAGTCAGCTTAATATCATATACGATTATTATAGATATTATTTTCTATACAGAAACAGGTAAGGAATCAACTCACTTTTCTTTGGTCTAAAATACTTCATCATCCCAGCAAAGTGTTTAAGTTGTATATGGTTGCTATGCTGTTAATAAATAAATATTTAATTTGAAACAAAACGATAAAAGCTTAAGTACAGGAAGAAAGAACTGAATGTCATCATTTACACAAATTTAATTTTAGGTTTTATTAATTATTACATTTGTTTTTCTCTTAATTTGAATGGTTTGATCAAGAATTTAAAATTAAAAAATTAAAAACAAAATAATGTCTCCTAACACAAATGACTGAACAGTTTGAATTACTGACAGTCAGTATTACCAAAGAAATGCAGCATGTCCGTACACTTGACAAATAAATCTGCTGTAACTGATCAATCAATACCACTTACCCGCTTTGTGACAAGTAGTCTAAATGCATGTCGACATCCAACACGTTTATGGAAAAATAACTTTTTAAGTTTAGATTTCTCCAGATTAGAAAATGTATCATAAACAACAGCTAGGAGCTGAAAAAGAAGGAAATAAACAGTTCATACATCTCAATACCTCCTGAATTATTTCAGAAATAAATTCCTGTACATTCAGCTGCTAAGGAAGCTCATTTTGTGAAAAATTTTATAAGGCATTTACCATGTAAAATATATATAATGTTCAGTCATGGAGCAATTAAGGTTTAAGAGTAATACAAATAATCAAGAATCAAGAAATAGTGAAAACAAACTTTAACTGTCACAATCTAAGATGGCCACCTAATGGCTATTTCATTTAAATTTACAGTCTTAAAATTAAATTGCCACAAGCAGCGACAAAGATGAGTATATGTATTACATTTAAGAAATATCCCTCTGGCAAGTCTTAATAGATAGTGAATATCCAGTACTTCTAATGAAATAGAGACAATAATCTTCAACTGTGAAAATCTAAGATGGCTGCCTGTCAACCATTTTGTTTAAATGATCAGATTCAAAATTCATTACAATAGGGACAACAATGGACCAGGAGGAACAAACACATCTAAATTGAGAAATATTCCTGGAGTACTTCTCAAGAAATGGTGATAAAATTATCAACTATCAATAACCAAGATGGCTGCCTCTCAGCCACTTAGTTGCACTGCATGCTCAGATTAAAAAAAGAATGGGCTTAATGAAGGACAGAGAAAAACTTAAATATGAAGAAATATCCTTCCAGTGCTTCTCAACAAAATGGCTACGACAAGGATTTGTATACAAATAGTGAACTAAAAATAGAATGAATGAACCACAGATTCATGGAAATTTGAACAGTCCATGATGATGGTGGACTTAACATCAGTCGATGTATGATAATTAATTTTGCTAGATCACAATGCTTACAAGATTCATGAGGAAATAAAGTTCCAGAGCAAGGTAGATGATGAAAAAAATGGCGTAGCCATGGTTATGGGCATAGGCTGGCATCATCACATCAGGATAACTGTGTGAAAAAACCATTGTTAATTTCAAATTTCTGAATGTAAAAATAATTGTAAATCTACTAAGTCATTAAAAAATTCCTGATTAATTGTTCTCAAAAGAATAAAACTTGTCAAATATCTAATAAACACAGTATTTGTCATATCTAATGCAGCAGTAAAGAAATACAGAGATTTGTTATGTGCATCAAAAATTATGTAAATAAAAAATGTCTGAATTGTTCTGAAAATTTATCTGCAATTGTAAGACAGATAACATATATCATGCAACATTACATGAAATCAACTGACAAATGTTTCTGATCAAATTGAATTAATAAAATGAAGTCAATGTTTCTTGCTGGCTTACTTTGCTGTTGTCAGGAGCACAAACAAACTGATGAAGCTGTCCTGTATCGTTGTGAAATACTAAAAAAACAAATAAACAAACATGCACCATCTAGTTTTAGTGCTGATTCCATATTAAAATCTTTAAAAATCTTTGCAAGACATTTAAAATTTTCAAGCAAATCTTGCATTCCATTAGTATTCTAAATATCCACATTTGAAAATTTCATTTTTTTTTTCATCCCTATTTTAACAAGGCATAATATTATTATGATTGTTTCCATTAACCTGCAAAAATTAAGAAAAAATGGACATTTGTTATTTGGAACAGAGCTTAAGAGACCTCTAATTATAATTAAATGCACACTGAACCATGTACTTACTGTATCTTGAGGTATCTGAGAGAACAGGTAAAATCCTATAAAAGATCAACATAATTAAACATTTTTAAAATATAGACTTAATGCAAATATTATGAAAAACAAGGAGCTGCAAAGTATGGCAATATCCCCTTATGCTGTTGGAATGACCTTCCAAACAGACATATATTTTAATGCAGCGTCTTTCAATTTTGATACGTAAGTTGTAGTTCAGAGAAAGGGTGCAAATGGTAGATTTAAAAGCTCTGTTTCTATGACAAATGAGAAAACACCTAAAATAAAATCATGTAATCAACAAAGGGTACAATGATGGCACTTGTCTGATATGGATGTAAAGTTTTGTAGAAATCAGTCGATCAGTTCTATAGTTGTAGCCTAGAAAAACCCTTTGGATGGAGCCCAATTTATCATCCACTGCAGAAAATTCTTCACAGGGATAAGGAAGGAATCCCTTATAGCTAGTCTGTCTTTTATGTTTACTATGACAACTGTTTAAAAAATGATTCTCTCACTTTCACAATAAACAACACATCAATATATTTGCTGCATATACAATACTCACCTAATATAGAAAATATAAGCATAAAGAATAGAAGTAAAATGATCATATCAACGATTGGAGGAAGGGACTGCAGAATCTGACGACATATTCTGAAAATTAAAAGAAAAGTTTTCAGTATTACACTATCTGTTAAAAGAAATTACATCAGCTTATATCATATTTCCCATTTTACATTAAAATATCTTTAATATACAACATGATAGACAATTTATCATATTCAACAACGTAACAGATGCTTCATCATTATTTATGAAAAACGTGTATATCCATATTTAGATTTTACAGGTAATGGTAGGTAGCAGTATGTTAATTTACGAATTCTTGCTTTTATTCCATCTACTTATTCGCCAACAAAAATTCTGAAAAAGTTTATAAATTTTATTTTGATAAAAAGAATCGACAACATCTTATACCCATCAAATATTGAATCAGATTGTTACCCTAATGATTGGATCATTACCTGCGCACATTGCGACAGTAATACGTGTCTATAATAAAGAGTGGACGGAGAGCACGAGTTACCCTGAAGTGGTTTGTCTGTCTAACCATCACGACTATGGTCTCAATAAACATTATGGACAGTGTCACAGTCTGAAACAAACATTTACAGGATTATAATACAGAAAATTTGGACAGTGTCACAGTCTGAAACAAACATTTACAGGATTATAATACAGAAAATTTGGACAGTGTCACAGTCTGAAACAAACATTTACAGGATTATAATACAGAAAATTTGGACAGTGTCACAGTCTGAAACAAACATTTACAGGATTATAATACAGAAAATTTGGACAGTGTCAATGACTGAAACAAACATTTACAGGATTATAATACAGAAAATTTGGACAGTGTCACAGTCTGAAACAAACATTTACAGGATTATAATACAGAAAATTTGGACAGTGTCACAGTCTGAAACAAACATTTACAGGATTATAATACAGAAAATTTGGACAGTGTCACAGTCTGAAACAAACATTTACAGGATTTTACAGAAAATTATAATACAGAAAATTTGGACAGTGTCACAGTCTGAAACAAACATTTACAGGATTATAATACAGAAAATTTGGACAGTGTCACAGTCTGAAACAAACATTTACAGGATTATAATACAGAAAATTTGGACAGTGTCACAGTCTGAAACAAACATTTACAGGATTATAATACAGAAAATTTGGACAGTGTCACAGTCTGAAACAAACATTTACAGGATTATAATACAGAAAATTTGGACAGTGTCACAGTCTGAAACAAACATTTACAGGATTATAATACAGAAAATTTGGACAGTGTCACAGTCTGAAACAAACATTTACAGGATTATAATACAGAAAATTTTTGTCTGAAACAAACATTTACAGGACAGTGTCACAGTCTGAAACAAACATTTACAGGATTATAATACAGAAAATTTGGACAGTGTCACAGTCTGAAACAAACATTTACAGGATTATAATACAGAAAATTTGGACAGTGTCACAGTCTGAAACAAACATTTACAGGATTATAATACAGAAAATTTTGACAGTGCAATGTCTGAAACATATACTACAAGATTAATTTAATACAGAAAATAATCACAAAACTTGGAATATGTGACATGATTTCATTGTAACAAATACCAGCATAACATTAAAGTACTGGTAATCACAACTAATTTGTTTTGAAAACTACAATCATCTATACAGAATGTATCTGAAAAATGATACATAATCTGCTTATCATGATTCATAAAATTTATAACATTTGGGATTTTATTATATGAACTGTATATGGGAAATAAGATCACAGATCATAAGTCCTCATCTTGTCGTTTGCATACTGTATATCTGGTTTTATTTGCCGGGCATTTGATTTGCTATGTTCAAGGTCATTATAGATGGTGTAAAATGAAATGCCAACAAACTATTTTATAGTGAAACAAAAGTTTAGGAAGTATATGCTATTATATACTATTGTTATTCATAAACATAGATACCTGCGAATAGACATATTTGAAATTTCATCTCCGTGAAGTTGCCTAAAATGTGACAACTTTTACAATAGTCTGCGAAATTAAGTAACTATACAGTATCATCTATTTATAAAGTTTCAGTATAATTTAGTGAAACAACAACTCAGAATTACAATTATTTATCCTGATTTACTTTGCTTAAGTACCCCTGCTCATCAAAATCCCTAAAAGTCACCATTTGATAATATATGCATGTTTATGACATCAATCTAGCTTCTTATAGAGATGTCTGTCGAGTGTTGATTTCACCATTTACAGATTAATACATAATTATAGAGATGTTGAACATACTTTGAACATGAATATTCCCTACAGTGATTAACTTCCCTTAGTTACATGAGTGCATATATATATATATATATAGTTCATGAAACACTGAAACTAAAACAGGGCAATGATTTACATTCAAATTACAATATTTTCAGCAAAACTTACATACCTAATAACAATTTGTCACCAGAAACACTGAAAGCAGTTTTGCTATATTGATCAGTTCACACGTTCTCAACATTTATTGATTTCTTTCCAATGCAAAACAAATAATATACCTATTTATTTTACAACAATTGCAAAGCAAATTTTTCCAACTTAAATAAATCACTCTTGTTGGCTCTGATGGAAGCGCGCGAGGGGTCTTAGTGTGGGAGGAAACAGGAGTACCTGAGGAAAACCAACATGGTTGGGCAGGTGACCCATACCTTTTCACATCCATTCCGGGAATTGAACCCTGGATGGCCTGGTGAAAGGCGAGTTGTTACCACTATGCCACCCGACCACCCGAAAACAAATTTAAGCAGACTTCAGAAATAACCTGTCAGAGTTAAAATGGAGGACACTCCCGATCCCCACAAAAATGAGTTGTGAATGATGGGAGCATGGGAGATTAAGATATGATGGAAATATCAAAAAAAAAAATACAAAAAAGATACAATGAAGGTGCATTAACAGAATATGAATGACTTGGTAGAAAGACAATAAAGATAACAAATGAACAGCAGTATATTACCTTGATCACAGTGCGAATATGTCTGAAGAAGACTTTCCAGCCCAGCCACTTCATGCGGATACCAAGTTCCAAGGCAATGATGAGGAGACCAAACAATTCAAGGGCACCATGTACCTACAGTTAAGAACAACCAGGCATAACACACCAGGAACTAACAAACATCACATACTACACATCAATAATTTTCAGAGGTCTTTTGCTACCAAGATGATATTTATAAACTGGAATATAAGCATGTAAGAAACACAATATTACATGTATGATGACATGGAACAAAACATATCCATGTTTAAACAAATAACCAAATTACAAATGTTTTGTACATGTATCAATTTCAACATTTGAAAAAAGAACAAGTACAAAAAGTAGTTTAAGAATACATAAGAAACAATTACAGAATTGTACAAAAAAATTGGGTCTGAAGTAGATCACTATATTAGGTAATTCTTCAAAAGGATAGTGTACATATGCCAGCACTGGTTCAGTGTTTAATAACTCATGACATGAAAGCTTCATATTTTTGTCAAAAAGATTCAACGTAAATGGTGTCAGACTGCTACACAGAACACCACAATCAGGAACACTTTCATTCTAAATTATCATTTTTATCAGTTTTTCCCTGTTAGAGTATTCATACTTTTTACAAGAGCTCTTTAAAATTAATCAATTATGAATTAAAGTGGCTTGATATCGTACGCAAAATACCAAAACAAATAATGCATTAACATTCCAGGCAAAGTTAATATTGAAATGACATTCCTCTCTATGATTGAAGTTGTAGTTTATAGTGATTTTTACCATGTTTTACAGCTGTGTATAAGGTCATTTCTCCCAGGCTCCTAAAAAGTGCCTTTAATTTAATTATTTAACAACAAAAAATAAAATAACATGCCAATAAGTCACAATGTTTTTCCAAGTTGATAAGACTTAAATAAAATTTTAGAAATGTCTTAAGTATCAATTATGTATAGTTATTCACTAAGTTGTGTCCTCTTTCAAATTTATAGATTACATTAAACTTATACTGTAAAATTATGGTGTTCAATTTTGGTAAATTTAAATAATAAAAAAAATATTGTTGGACACTTGATATTGTGGATAAATATATAGTCAATCTACTTGTACAAGTTTGTGGATTTAGGGTACATGTTATCAATGAAAATAAATCCCCTACAAAAAGGTAAGATTTTACAGTATCCAAATAACTTTTAATAACATGTTTGTTTTGAAATATGCCCTAGAATATATATATTAAATCTGACTTGAAGTCCGGAATGAACTTATTACAGGCAATGCAATAATATTTTTGGTAGTTTGAACAGCAGTAAATATGGGTTGGCTTTTTACCAGGCCAACTGATGAACGATAAATATAATGTATGTATATCTATTATGCTATCATCCTTAACCTATACAATCGTAATGTGTAAATACTGGATAACCAATTATTATTCTGATGTCACATTACAGTGTTATCATATACTACATACACTCATCAAATATCGTGTTGACACAAACATTATCAGTCAATACTTAATGTACCTTGATAAGAGAGATATGAGAAAAAAAAGGTGCATTGGTGAATACATGTTTATAAAGTGCATTGAGACCTCTCAAGTACATAGATACAGTGTGTATAAAAATGTGAATTAGTTATTGATCTTCAAGTACTCTTTATCCTGATGTACTGACATACTAGCACAATTTCCCTACAACTATATACCACTCACATAAGTGTTGGATATTTTAACAAATTCTTATAACCTCAACATATATAATTCACAATTAGCAAATGGTATGGTTCACACACTGTGAACAAGACTGATAATTTACTTATTTTATTTATCTAATAGGTTCTACATCCACTACTTCAGCCTTTAGGACTTTCAGTGGATGAGAACATAGGAAAATGAGTAGAGAGGATCAGTATATAGTATAAAGTGATGGGAGAGAGTGGGATACAGAAATGAAAAAGAGATGCTTCCTCTGCCCTATACTATGATTAATGATGTCATCATAATGAGATAACCACATGACCTTATCATGATCAGGTATTGAATAAAATTGTTTACAATACAAATAAAAAAGAGAAGGAAATAAAAAACTGATATCCTAAATCAATCTGTTTATTTATATATCAGGTTTTACATCAATTATTACAGCCTTTGTGCCTTTCAGTGTACAAGTTTCAATAAATGAAAACATCTCTTTATTCATAACAAACAAAAGACCAATGGAACAAACAAAGTTATGAAAGCAATCAATTTACAATTATCAAAAATCAATTGTTATTTCTTTCAAGCCAATGAATACTATCTACATTAGGATGATACCAAAATTAAATATATATATGAAGTACCAGGATTTTTACCAGTTTTGACAGCTGTATAATTACCATGTATCCAAAATTATGACAAACTGTTGTTTTGAAAAAGGACTCTGAATCCTCAGTGACCAAGAACACATAATGTAAAAATGTAAATGTGAAATAAAAAAAAATACATACTCCCACAGGCAAGGTGAGAAATGGCACAGCTGGGCGCTCACACGCTGCCATAAACAGCACCAACAACGATGCGAACAAATCCAAGGCATAAAACCAGTGGTTATGTGCAATCTCATAAGCAGGTAGGGCATCATGGCTTCTTGGATGGGTAGTGTATTTATCATTGTTTTCTCCTTCCTGTAAAAATATTGCTGCTTCATGGTAGTTCAGTTCCCATATCTTTTTTGTGTTGTTCCACACCTCCCCGTTAATGGATGTGGAGGGGAGGTCATAACCCATGTTACCAGGTTCATTATATATGTCGTTAACTTCCTCTCCATCATCATCTGTGAAAAGAAATATTATTTATAGCTTTTACACTGACCATTAACTTAGTCTTTGTTTTGACTTTTATCTTTTGCAATCTGTGAAAACTTTTAAGATATATATATAAATATACAAAAACAAATGAAAACAAAAATGAAACAAAATAAAATGCAGATTTCATAAATGCATATTAATTACGAAAGACATTTTTCACTATATGCCATCTTTAAGTAAAAAGTCTCACAACATTACATGAATGTGAAAAGTTAAACTGCACATACACAAGTCATGTCTACAGAATTTGTTCTATAATCACTATATACAAAACATCAGATATACTTATGTAGGGCTTCAACATCTTAATAACTTTAGTTTTTCTTTGAATACATTCTGTGATTCATTATGTCTAATTAATACACTTCCCCAGATCTAGAATTAATAGAAGAAGCTTGAAACTAAACTGTCATTGCCAATTCTGTAAATTACTGTAACATGTCGGCATATCTAGCCATGAACCTGCATAGCATTAATTTGTAATAAGATATTAAATCTGCTGGGCTCTCGATCTGCCAGATTTGGGGCCGATATTCAGCCCCATTCCCAATGCAAAATGGTATCTTTTTTTCCCAATTCAGACCCCAAGTTTTCCCAATTCTAAGGAAAACGCTGCTATTTTTCCCAATTTGAAGGGCCCCGGGCCCCAGTCCCAAAATGGGGTGTGAGAGCCCTGATCTGTCTCTAGTATTATCAACATTATTTGAATGTCACTTCATCAATTTCATTATATCTTGATACACTCACATCAATATAATGTATGAATATAAAACATGGTTCAGGGCTGTTGACATCCTTGTAAACTACATAGGCCATAATGAATCTTCTGGCACAACTTAATGGTGTATATCCATGGTAACTTCGTGGTTGATTGCATCTTTTCATTTTCATCATATCAGAAACATGGTATACAATGAATGTTTAATGATCAATACTTCACAGTCATCAGACACATTGGCAATCATTTCCTAAAGACTTGTTACAGGAAAAGTACAAATAATTCCTTGGAACATACCTTTCAGGTGATTAAGATGAAATATGTGATACAATGTACATATCATGTAAATCCTTAATCGATTGACAATTACTTCCAATAATGTAAAAATAATTTCATTCTGACGTGGTTATACATTCTCTTAATAAATGCTGTTGAAACAGCGTTGTTAGCTAGAATACAGTCAGAAAGATGTATTCAATGATGAAATTTATCTAATTTCAATTTCATCAATTTAGATATAACATATAATTGAGGTGTCCTTCCAAATAAACACCAAAATTATTTAATGCCGTGTGCTACATATACTTATTCATTTTAAAGAAGAATTTGCATGATAGTGTATACTATTACAGTTAAATCATAGTGTACTAATCATTTCGCAGGAAACGTGTGGACTGCTCGGCCGAAGTTATCACCTGTTCCAAATGTAAACACCCGATCGTGACTAGCATACTGGGTACATCTACATATTTTTTCAGATTTAAACAATGTCAGAATAAAATATCATGTCAGTCGTATATAAGATGACGTGGATTTAATATAACTCTAATGGACGTCTACCTTCGTCTCTGTGAATGTTGTCATCTGTTCCTAGATTCAAGAGTTGATCCTGCGAAGTACCCGCCATATTGCTTTCCACCCATCGATTCGGATATCCTTTGATATTTTCATGTAAAATGTGATCAAGTTAGATGAGTCTCGATAGGACAGTTTGACCTCAGATTCTGGGTTAGGTCATTACAGGAGATTTGGTCCATAACTACAGACATATTAATACGCCTCAACTTTCTGCGATTATTGACTAATTCAATTCAATTATATATATATTATCTTTATATTAATACTCTTTCTCTATTTCACCTTGTCAATAAAAGATGAATTATGAAATTATGTTCAAATGAAGTCGAAAAATATTGAACTACTTGTTGTCAGTGTAGTAGAACTAAACAATGAATGAGTGATTTGGTCAAGAATGGCGTGAATGAAAACACAGGGCGCCGAAATAAGTATTGAACAGGTCATTTTAATCGGTTGTACCTTTCAACTGTGGAAATGATTACGGTATAGAGGTAATCCAAAATTAAGTTTTTCGTTAAAAAGGTTAAGTTTATAACTTATCACCTCTGATTCTTTACATAAAAACAGTTAAATCTTCAAAAATGGCGACTGCGGGTATCCAAAGTATGGTGGAAACACTTCCAGTGGAGCCAACCATGCAAATAAAGTTGCAAATGCCACGTCCACCGAAAGGTGTCCCGGGAGCAGGAGGCCCCAGCAAAATGAGGAATAGACTTAGACTAGATCCATCAAGGGCTTTAGAACCGGCCAGGAAAAAAATTGCTACAATAGAAGCACAACGAGTTATGTCAGTATTTGAAGACACCATCCACAGGATAGAAATGGTCAGTATACTGCCATATTTATTGAATAACGTTGACAGGTTTCGTGTTAGTCTGGGAGCTGAACTAGCAGGGCATTTGGAAAATCACCAAGTAATCCAGGAAAGCTATCAGGAGATTAAACAGCAGCTTGATATACAAATAAGACAAAACCGTAAACAGCATCAGAAAGTTACTGCACGTCCAAGTACAGGGGGTTCTTTCACCAGTGAAGGAAGAGCCTACAGTCAATACAGTGGAGATGATACTACTGCTCCAACAATGCCAACAGAGGAAAGTGAGATGAAGGATGACAAGGGCATGGATGTATTTGATGAAGCTGAAGAAGATGCACAGAGTGAGCGACAGTCAAGCTCTCGACAAAGCGATGTGTCAAATATTAGCGCAGCCAGCTTCAACAGCACAATTGATCGAACCATGAGGAATTTGAATTTAGTTGCTCAACAGCTGAGTACTTCCTGCAAAAATATCATCCGATGTTTTTATCTCAATACTGCGGCAATGAAGACCATAATGAACCAGGCAAGCTCTACCATTCCTAACAGTAACAAGTTGCTGATTCAGTACCTAAATGAACTGAAGGAGATTCTCCTGAATAAACTGCTAACAACTCCTGAAGAAGAGAGTGAAAGGATGGATTACATCCAAGAAATTTCTCTGAGAGAGAGAAATAATGCTGCTATCATTGAGAAATTGGAGGAAGAATTGAGAGCTGCCATGGCTGATAAAGACGAAGAGGTATGTGTATAGTTGCAGCTCGTTTGATGGGTCTAGGTTAGCTCCCTTTGTATTTTAGGGTGACGTGATTACAATAAAATTTGAATAAGCATAAGACATAAGATTTTCATGTGTTGCAAAAATTCAATATGATGTCATGTAAAATTGCTGGTTGTAGTTTGTAATTGATGTTTTGCAGTTCTTTTTTCTTCAAATATAACGGATCACTTCATGGTTCTGAAAATATGCCATTATTTTTAAACATGAAACTTTCATAAAATTTTTACAGATCAAAAAGAAAAATGATGTAATCAGGAGAATTCAAGCTGATCTCCGCCAGATTGAGAAATTCTCTGAGGAAAATATGAAACGAGTCCAAACTGAAGCAGAGAAACAGGAGGCAGCCGACATTAAGACAAGCGATGGAAAGAAACAGCGGTTACTTCAGGAACTACAGCAACTGAAGACCCAGAATCAGAATTTGATTACGGAGCACAGAGAAAGCGAACAGGATTTGAGAAGAGTGTGTATTAGTACATTGTGTGCTGGGCATGGCTAGATATAGTAGATGGCATATCCCTGATAGTTGCACTTTAGATACCTATACTGTAGTGGCACTGGACTGGTTCTGTCTTCCCCTACACTGGTAGTCAACCCTCTCACTCTCACAACTTTCTTATCCTTTCACTCTCTATTTCTTATCAGCATCATAAATAACCTGCATCTATTGTGAAAATAAAAGATATCAGCTGTCAGTAGAAACTATTTAAAGTTCACATCTGCATTTGGTATAAAAATCAAATATTGCTTAAAAATATTATACTTGTCTGCTGAAAGGTCATAACATTTGACCTAAAGCTTGATGAATAGAGAAATTATCATAAGATTTGCTGGATTAATTTGATGAATTGAAGTCATTTAGATACTTGTAAATGATCTATTTATTATCTATATAGTTATTAATATAATAATTTTATACATTTCAAGAAAAAGTATAATTACAAACTGGTGAACATTTCATTGCATCATTGAGATATGGTTTTAACAAATATGGACATATGAAACTTGGTATTTCTGATGCTGATATTATAGATGTACCTATTTGTTTCTCCTTTTTGTTTCAGATAATGTATCATGATACAAATCTCTTAATTCTGTCAGTAGCATCTAACTTTTAAAAAATGCTTAGTCAGCAATATTTTCATCTTTTTGGAATTATGGAAATGCTAGATAACCTTAAACTTCTTATTACAAGATACAACATGGCAACAGAGTATCTGAAAATACCCTGGCTATTCACGGGGCTATATAAATGCAGAAAATACCCTGGCTGTTCACAGGACTATAACCACAACAAACAAACAATCAGAACATGAAATGAAACATAACTCATACACATTTTTGATATTGCTTTTCATCAGTTTTTTTAATCACGTTTATCATATAATATGCAAACAATCAAAAAAATATATCAGATATATCCAAAATTATGCATAAAAAATTCAAGTTCAGTTTCTTTTGAATTTTCATAAACATTTTCTGTATTATTTTGTCTATTGCCAAAATAATAGGGTATTTTGTCATCAGCTATTTTGATTTTTTTTCTCAACTACATAACGAAAAAAAGAACTAAGAATGAGATTACCATCATTGCAGTAACAGTAATTTCACATCAAATGAAAACATTATGTTAAATCCAGTTGAATTTTAAAGATACTGACTTATTTCACCTGATGTTATACGGGATAAAATTGAACAAACAATCATGCTCACATCTAATTTGGAAAGTCTAAGGAAAAAAAGGAAGAAATTATGAGAACAACATTTTAATTGCAAAATTAGAGAAACTACATTGTATTTCAGTTAAATGAGCTAGTGTATATTCAACCTGCTAATATCAGCTCATTATGCATGCATATCTATTTATAGTTTGAAAATAAAAGCTGCCTTTATAAGTGAAAGCGTGTCTTCTCAAAAACTAAGATCTTAAAGAGCTTACTCAGAATATCAAATATATTATTCATATGTTAAGAAGGCACTGGGTAATGCATTTAGATTAAAGATTAACAATTTTCATCTTCATTGCAATTTCAGCATTTCACTAAATCAGAAAAATGCAATAAATTTTGCTTTGCTAAAATCAGCTGCAATTAGAACTGCTTATGAATCAGACAATGGCATTTTATAGTCTGTTATTTTGTCAAATGCCGAATTAGTGATATACATAAAAATTAGTCAGTTAAAAGAGTGTCAGAATTAGTCAAGTACTTGAATCCTGCTTTTCTTTCTTTGAAAATTTTTTTTAGAAATTAGAAAAAAAACTCAGGAAACATTTTATTTTGTATTGTTTCAAGGTATATTAACTACATGTATGGACAGTTAGTTGGGAATTTGTGTCCCTGTGGGTGTACTCTACTAGTTTTATGTGAAATGTACCCATTTTTTTTTTTTTTTTATATAAAACCTGGATATTAGATAAAGCATGCATACAGATTGTTCTTTACAGTGTTTCTGGACTCCTGGAATTTATTTTTGATGAAGTAGAGTAAATGATACTGAATGTTTTTCTCTTTTCAATAAACTCTGAAGTATTTTAAACAAGTTCAAAAAATACCTGGTATTGTGTGTTGGAAAGAAATAATTCAAACAATGGTGTTTAGGTATATTTATTGTAATAAACTGTATGTAAAGTATTATAGATTGTTGTGCTAATCTAAATTATATCCTCCTTGTTCTTACAATATGATTGTGTCAGGGAGATGGGGGGAGGTATATTGTTATGATGCTAAAAAGAAAAAGGTGAAAGATTTTGTACAAATTGTGAAACACAATAGTTTTTATATGCTGATAGAGAATGCTACAGGACTGGGACTAGAAAGTTGATAATGGTAGCACACCAAAAATTATTAGGCATAAGAATAAATAATTATATAACAAAAATTGAATAACATTTATATATATATATATATATATAGATAGATAGATAGATAAACATACACAATTTGTTGGTTTTAATGAAAGCATTAGCATATTGCAGTGTCCTTGTAAAAGATCAGTGTGAGATCAGAGCCCTACCCCAGTGCCACACCCCCACCCCATCGCTGTACCTAGCCCTGCACTAGTACCCCTGTTCTGCACAATCCTACTCACTTCTTGTCCCTTTGGTTCTGTCGTCCAAATTTAGAATCTGGTTCTTCTCTTGCATGCTAGACTCTGTTACAACATTCAGTAGTAGTAGTTCAATATCTTATAGTATTCTATTAATATACATTATCTATTCATCTTTATATAATTGGCAATATTTGTATTTTTCAAGGAATGTAATTTAAATCAAAATGATCTTATTTGCCATAATTACATAAAATGCAAGAAAAAAAAAATTTAAAATTCAAAAAGGTGAAAGGAAGTTGTAAGTAAAATATCCTTGATCAGCATAAGATAGCTTCAGTTATTTTATCATTTAACAGAAATGAACATGTTCTACATATAGTAAGTAGTTTGCATAATTGCTGGTTTTGAGGTGATTTGTGTTCTAACTGTATGAGTGACATTTCCAGAAAAAGTTCAGGGTGGAGTCCCAGGTGGAAAACTTGATACAAAAGTTTGATGCCGATATGACCGAGAGACAGGTAAAAGAATTTAGCTTATATATATGTTGATCAGAAGACCTGCATCCAACAGATCCCTCAGTTTCATAAAAGTTTTTTTATATGTATAACTTGTAGCTTATATTACATGTACATTTGTATTTTTCTTTAAATTAATTGAAATTAAAAGTGTATCAGCATTATTTATTGTCTTTTCTTACCCAGATTGGAATTATTGCCTTGAATAATCCACATTTACCCTGAAACTATTACAAAACAAAAATCATGAATGTAAGATAGAATTTATATTCTCACAACATCAACACAGATGTGATTTATTTTTCAGAATGAATATGAAGAGATTGACACAGAGTACACAAAAGAAAAGAAACAACTCCATGAACTGGAGGAGCGTTTCAAGACTCTGGAGGATGAGTACCAACAGATCATGGAGGAACGACGTATCGCCCGCGAGAAACGTGAAGCCGCAGAGCGTGACATGTCCAACATGGTGAAGGCTGCCACTACCATACAGGCCTTCTGGAGATCATTCAAGGTCAGGAAGGCACTCAAAGGTCGCAAGAAGAAGGGTGGTGGTGGAAAGAAGAAGAAATAAACAGCTGTGAAATCAAGATTTCATGAGAAAATTTGATGTCAAAAGCGAAATCTGGAAAAAGAAATGTTGGACTTCTTCAATTTGTTTAATATAAATAAAGGCTATTTTGTCCATTCTATGGAGTAAAAAAATATTTCAAATGCCCGTCACTCTTTATGTCATGGAACTTTTCCCTATGTATAAATCTTACACCTTCAGGACCACTTCATGTACACACTAACAGCTTGTCCAATTATTATGGTATCATTTAATTAGAAATGTAGTGATGTGCAAAAAAAAAAAGGATCAACAGTGTGTCACATTTTGATTTCTCTGAATCATTGAACAGATTCATATTTTGCTTGTATGTACCAGGTATTTGTGTAAATATTTGAAAATTCCCTTGTCATCTCTTAACGTTTCTCCAGACATCAGACTACATCAGTTCTAAAAGGTGATACATTTTTTTGTTTCTTGTGAAAAATCAATATTTGTAATTTTTGTTTACATTAAGCTAGGTAATGTAGATTTTGTGTTTGTTTTTGATGATGCTGAAAACATGCGATCTATGTACTTTTGAGATCACATGATCTTCTAAAACAAAAAATATCAGATTGGTTGTGTCAGATCTACTATAATGTGAATGCTTCTAATGACACCCAATACTGTACTAGATTGTGTCTATTCAGAAGAAAGTAGGGATATTAATATATTACATATATGATTGTTTTCATTACTTTGTGTTGACTGTGATAATAATATTGTTATTGATTTTGTAAATATTAATTAGAGATATATGTTGACTTTATTATGTCTTGAAAGCATATATATAAATGTAATTATGATATAGCTTAATGTATGCAATGTATATAATTTAACTTTACTTGTGAAAGATAAATATTTTGATTTGTTGCCTTGTAAGAGAAGATGAATTATTAACTTTGTTTACAGATTTTATCTATAACTATATACTAGTAAATAAATTTTTCACAGTGGAACAGAATATTCACTTTGAGATCTATAGGAATTGTGACATTTTTCTTCATACACATTTGATATGATACCCATCCGTCCAAGTTGAGTGCTCTCAATAAAATGGAAAATTCTATTTCAAGTTTTTTGAATTGTTATGCTTTCGTAATACATAAATCACAAAGTGCAGAAATTCTAGAAAAAGCTTTTTTTATTTGAAAAATTGTTATTGATGACAGAACATGTATACAAAATCATGAAATAAATTCTGTTACACGGATTTAACAGAAGTTGATAATCAATTTAACAATGAGACACCTAGAAATATTTGACTGGTGTCGTATAAATAGTTTCCAAGTACAATCCACCAAATTTTCCTCAATAATTTCATTTTCGAGTACAACATTTCATAATTTCACAAACAACTATTTGAGATGACACCACTGTGGACTAAGACTTTGACAACATGTTAGTCACTATCATTTTGACTATTATAGTCTTAAACTGTCATATCATTATAACTTGATGTCATTCATCTTTATCCAAGTCCGGATTTTCTTCTGTCTCCGCAGTTTGGATCATCTTCAGAGGATTTATGATTGTTACAAAATCCTTTCATTTTAATTGGAATTCTAATTAGAATTTAGAAAAAGAAATCATTGATTTTCTTTTATTTTGATCCACTGCTCTGGTGTGTACGTCTTCATAGAGAACGCATGGATTATCTTCATCTCTTCCTGCAGAGTATTGTTTACTAACCTGGAATTAAAATGTCAACAATCATACATACTGCATCAAACAATGTCTTCAATAATTAGATCTATTGTGAAATTATCCCATAAATAATCTCATTACAAAGTCAAAAACTTGCAGAAATACTACACATATAACAAAACAAAAATGATAAACAACTGTTCGAACATAAATGAAAACAATTATTTCAAACCCTTAATCTATATTTTTTAAATTGAGTTTTCTTTGTGTAATTTGTTGATTATAAAGCCAACGGTGAGATAATCAATCAACACAACAACCAATATCATATGAGATTGCATCTAACTTTATATTTTCCATATACATGCATTATGACAACAAATGTTCAATTTTAGTTTGTTTTCAAAATTTGATTCATGCAAATCAGACAGTCAACAGTAACCACAGAATTTTCATCCTTATTCACAATGCAATACATTGAATAAAAGTGTTTATGTACTATTGACCTATTTCTACTTCAACCTCAAAAGTTGTAGTCACCAAACACAAAACGTTGCTGTGATGAACTACTTTTATTGTGAACTACTTCCTAACATGATGTAATGATAACCTATGAAAACACAACATGGAAACATTTCAGTTACAGTATGCCTGCTACTTCAACTACAAGAAAATAAGTAATCCAGATTACTGTCTGTTAGGGAACCATGAAAACTAGGTCATGGTGGCTTACTTTCATATCTTTTTCAAGAATTGTGGAACTCCCAAAGATACAACATGCCAAAATTATTTACAATATATGACTGCTATTTCAACTTTTATCAACACAAAGTTAATTTAAAAAGAGAATCATCAGTCATTGTTGAACGATGTAAATTAGGCCACAGTGACCTTTCATAATGTCAGATAAAAAATACAACATACTAACAGTAGTAATAGTATATATTTTGCCACGTTTTCTTCAGGATGGCAATGTCAATTGAACATAAGTTCTTAAAACACAACCAGGAAAAGACTAGAGTGTGATTTTTCCATATGGTCACCTTCATCAGGAAAATGACCAATGTGGAGTGGTCTAACCCTGATGTACATAGTGTAAGAGATGGTAAGGCATCGTCAATTTTTTTGCCTATACTATAATCTTATGTACACTAAGGTCGAAATAGGATTAAAATTAAAGAGGAAAAAGCTGTTTGATTCCTTACCATCTCATACACTACATACCTCAGTGCTAATACGCTCCACACTGGTCATTTGTCTGATGAAGGTGACTGTATAGTCATTGAAATGTCACACTCTAATCTACTGGTTGTGTTATAAGAACTACTATCCTAGTAGAGTATGTCTGCTACTTTAACCATCATAACCTAAAATCATAATATCGTCAGTCATTTTACAATGAAATCTATGTAAAAGTGACCTACTTTGATGATACAGTTGTTGACGTCATGAAACTATAACATGCACCATTGGTTACAATATGCTTGCTATTTGAACTTACAGCTTGCACCATCTATAGTGATCTAGAATCATGTAGGTCCATAAGCCATGAAAACTAGGTCACAGTGACCTTTTATCGTATGCTTTTGTATGCTGATAAAGTAACAAAACATGCAGGCTGTTATATGAGGGGCCTATTTTAGTTCTAAACAACACAAAATATGTACATCAAAATGTTGAAGAAAATGGATTCCATTTTGCCAATCCATATGCCATGTCTCCTTGGTAATCTGACCAAAAACCTGCTTAATCTAGAAGTTCCAGTTTTTAACACGACCATTATCTTATACAAAATTTACAAAATTCTTACCTATGCCTGGCTAACAACTGTTTCCCTTCAAACTGAGGTGACACAATAACAGCATCAAACTTAGCTCCACATCCATCAGACATGTCAGTTATAGACTGATAAAAGAAAACAAATCATTTGAATTCAGTGCTTATTGATATATAATAATATGATTAGCCACACTTGACATGTTCCTTTTTTGCCACAATCATCCGACATAACATTTGCCCAACCTCGTAGGTTTTCTCAAAAGTTCCCTCAAAAATCACATCCCTTCACTTAAGAGACATTTTTGACTTTTGTGTTGTTTTGGATGAAATGTGAGGTAAAACAATTGATTGTGCTGCTCTCATGTTAGTCCAAATGGTTCTGACTATCTGTCCATAATTTTTTTCACATTACTTCCATCTGTGCTGTTAAATACATCTATATGAAAAGCAGATCTGACTTTAAATTTTCAAAGTGTGATTTTGTTTTTTGTTCCTTACTTTTACATTCTAATATAAAAAACTTACATCACCAAGTTTTGTGTGCTAAAAGGAGAAGCAATAAGCTTTATCAATTGGTATGAAAAAAACATTAAGACAAGAAGGAAGTTTATCTAATGCTTTATTTATTATCATTTTTCTATATATCACATATCTTTTGTTTTACTTTTTTAACAAACATTTAAAAAATCATGGTAGCAGTAATCATACAATGTAACTATATGATATAGTTTACATGATAACATAAAAAAATCTGTGAAAATAATTAACTCACCACATGTTCTGCTTCTATTTCTGTTTTCAGCTTGTCCTCCAGCTGTTTACCAGTTATCCCACTCATCTCCAGTTACTTCCCTTTGGCCACTAAAAATCAAATTTTCATACTAATTAACATTTAAGTTGTGAACAATGTACCAAGTCATGAGATGAAATGTCTTAATGGACCTTTTTTTGTTGTTGTTGTTGTTTTCACTTATTTTGTTATGGGTTTTTCTATACCCAAGTCCATCCCTATTCTCCCTTAGTACCAATTTTAGATTATCATAGTAATGACATAAACAGGTTGTGAACATCAGGATAGATTTAAAAGATTGCAATGGAGCATCAGCGTATCTTATTATTACCGAGTATTTTTCTCTGCTGACCTCTGAACTCTGAACATATTGGTGTACTAGTCTTAATCATTCTGACATTCTATCAACCTTTTTTATATTGGGCTGGAGCAGAGATGTATATATACGTCTCTGGCTGGAGTTAACTCCAAACTGATACAAAACAGTTGATAGAATGTCAGAATAATTCAGACTAATTGGTGTATATTAATTGGTGTACATACATAGTCTTGACTTTCACAAATCATATTCCTAAAAAAATGCTTCTCACTCTGACTGAGATATGTATATCATTTACGATAAGCTACATTGGTTAATAACATTGTAATTTTTTTATATAAATTGATAAACCAAACCACCGTTCTATCATTGCTAATTAGTTACAGATCCTGAAGATGTATGTGTTATTTAAGTCTCTCGTAAGGTAATGAAACCCTAGGTAAATTTTGTAAGTTAATTCATGCTAAAACTAGATCAGTTTACCAAAGCATGATTTCACTGTTCAAGTTAACTTGATTTATTGAATTTTAAAAAATGTTATTGCAACCAGGATTCCGATACCGATCTATCACACTGTGGTGGCAAAAATTCGCGTGAACAAACCGTATGCGTGTTACAATTATACAATGTACGTTTTGGGTTGTTTTTTTTTTTTCAAAACGACGTATTATGACTTATATGTATACCAATGTGTCTAAATTCAGAGAAGATAGTTCTTTTTCATTGTACAGTGATCCAATTATGAAACTCTTCGTCAAAACTGGTGACGTTTGTCATTATATGCGAGTCAAGGTTTAATACACAGTGTAATTCTGTAATAAAACACACAAAAAGATGTCACTTAAAAAATAGCAATATGCATTTTTGGCGCTGAAATATCAGCTGTGGATTACCGCTAGGTCTTTTATGGCAATCACGTTAGTTTTTCACCAGTAGAATCAAGAAACGGAAGTCGTGTATCTGCTTTCAATTTATTCGGTCAGACTGATTCGACTAGCCATTTAGACAGAAATGATATTGAACGCACTATTAGTGATGATGTTAAAGATCGTACAAATTAGATAAATCAACAGAGCACTTGCTATAGACGTATTGGTTTAAGACTGTATAATGATTAACGACAACGAGAAACGCAGCGATAATAATGTTAAATATTTTATACTTATAAATCGCTTCAACCGATTAAAGAAAAGTAAAACCAAACACGTCATATCCGTAAACATGTTGAGTGATGTTTCCACGTTTCCACTTTCGATTTATCTTAATTTGGGCAGTTTTATTAGTACATTTTGCAGAAACGTACCGGAATTCTAATTCATGTGTTGGGCCTTTCAACAAACGATGTCTGTACTCCGATTTCCGCTGCTTTATTTCTGTTGTAGACACTTGTGATGTTGAAAGCTCACTTGTGTCGACCTTAGAGGACTGGAAATTCAACGATGAAAACGTGCTTCTTGACGAATTTCCTATTGATCCAGTACAAGATAATTATGTTCGTCAAGTAAGAAACGTTGTGTTTTCTATAACGCCACCTGTCCCCTTACGCACGGAGGCGACATTAGTTGCTACATCAGACGATGTGTTGGTGAATATTTTGGATCTTGACCCGGTTGTCATTCGCAGTAGAGAATTCACTGACTTTGTGAGTGGCACTGTTAATTTGCATGGAGCTGTACCATTGACCCACAGATATGGTGGTCACCAGTTTGGAAGCTGGGCGGGTCAGCTTGGGGACGGACGCGCTGTCATGTTGGGAGAATATATAAATAGTAATGGAGAAAGATGGGAACTTCAGTTGAAGGGGTCGGGACTGACCCCATACTCTCGCCGTGGTGACGGTCGGGCCGTGATACGCTCGTCTGTTCGGGAGTTTCTATGCAGCGAAGCTCTTTATCACCTTGGTAAGAAATACACATACACAATTTACATGTACTTGCGACTATTGTATATGCATATTTTAATTACATACGACATTTTCTTATATTTTTTTTTCAATGTGTATAACTTTATACAGTCTTTATCTATACATGCTTATGCCTTTGAATGAGTTTACTCCTCAAATGTATTGATAGAAGTGCACGGATCTCTAATACATTCCATGCATGTAATTATTTGTAAACGTTATTGCCAAAAGTGAAAGTTTTGACTCAAGTCAGTGAAATCAAGTAAATTATAAAACCATCTCCATTTGACAAATGTAGCTTTACATGTAAATGTACGTATCAATAGTATTCATGAAATTATACTAAAACTCCATACCATCTTTTTGAACAGCTGACTGATTTGTAGATTACGCCTTTTTTATTAACAATACACACTAAATCAACGAATAAGTCATGTGGGTATTAGTAATGGCAGATCTTGATCCACACACAAAAGACTTTTCACCACCTTATAATATTATGGTGTTAAAGTAAATCTATAATTGAAATACACAATGTTTGTTAAAGTGGTGAAAAGAGGCAATATTCTGAGGGAGACTTTAAAACTGTCTTGATTGTTTTTTTGGGGGTTTTTTTTTTGCGTGTTCTCATGTCGATTTTTTATTACCATTTCGTAAGGTGTGCCCACGAGTCGAGCTGCCTCCTTAGTGGTCAGTCAGGACCCTGTCACTCGTGACCAGTTTTACGACGGCCACCCTCAGACGGAGCGAGCAGCTATAGTACTACGTGTTTCACAATCGTGGTTCAGATTCGGATCTCTAGAAATCCTGGCACGAAGCAGAGAAATTGATTTACTGAGACAGCTCACTGATTTTATCATCAAAATGTATTTTTTAGACATCGACCAACACTCGCCTGACAGATATTTGGAGTTATATAGTACAATAGTGGAACAAACCGCCGCCATGATTGTCACGTGGCAAGCTGTTGGGTTCACGCACGGGGTCTGCAACACGGACAATTTCAGCATCCTTTCCCAGACTATTGATTTCGGACCGTTTGGGTTTCTAGAAGAGTACAACCCAGCATTTGTTCCTAACACTTCAGACGACGAGGGCCGATATAGTTATGAAAGACAACCAGATGTTGGTTTTTATAACCTAGATAAACTTCGACTTGCTCTTCAGCCATTACTGACCACAGGTCAGGCCAAACAGATGACGGTAATACTCAAAGGGTACATAGATATTTACAAAGCGAAGTTCATGAATATTTTCAGAAGAAAAATAGGGTTATCGAAGTATATGGAGGATGATGAACAGATCATTGCAGTATTGCTGAAAATGATGGAAGAAACTAAAGCAGATTTTACAATGTCATTTCGACAGTTATCAGAGCTAAATATCAATGATTTGGAGAGAGTTATGTTGTTACCAGACACCAGAGCATGGGCGTTGAAAAAGCTAGCCTCTCACGATTGGTTTATTGCGTGGGTTAAAATGTACAAGGCAGCGCTAGCGAGCCAGAACGTGTCCGAATCAAACAGACGAAAGATCATGAAGTCGACCAATCCGCGATATGTACTCAGGAACTGGATAGCACAAAAAGCCATTACTAAAGCGGAAGACGGTGACTTTAGCGAGGTTGTCAAGGTGTTACGAGTATTGGAAAGGCCTTTTGATGTTCAGGAGGAAGCCGAGACCAATGGATTTGCTTCCTCCCCTCCTGAGTGGGCAAAGGCACTCCGGGTCAGTTGCTCATCGTGAATTGTTTGTTGACGCTCCAACAGTGGATCCATTTATTGATATTTGTCTATAAAACATATATTTATTACCGTAACAATATCTAGTTTTTAATCAATTATAATTGGGATGTATACTAGAAGATCTTTCCATCAGATATAGTATGAGGAGGAACAAGGATGTTTGTGAAAAAAACATACAAGGGATTAACACCTTTTAATACAAATTAAGATAGGATAGGTTAGAGCCAAACAAAGAACAAAACTGCATCATACAACTGTTTCGTCCATCCAGGGCTCACTAGTGATGCGTAGTGCCTAAATTTAAAATCTAAGTGTCGACAGAGGAACGTGATCTAAAGAACTGTCAGAATATAGATGGGAAGGTGCACTAGCCCCATAATTCAATACATTTCGTAAAAGTTGTTTTGCTGGAGGTACAAGCATTTGTTTCGTGTCTTTCTCTTTTTAAAGTGTTCTTCATGAAGGTTCCATAATTCGAAATCGTCAATATAAATGACAGAATTTAAGGAGTACGTCCCTAACTAGCATCATTTCCTCCACACCAATATTGTTTTCTAAAAAAATAACTTAAGTTACGCAACCAAGGTTAAAAGACGTTTATGAATTTCGGGCAGGATTGATTACCGAAATTTTTCTTAAAGCTGCTGGATGGAACTTAATCAAATTAATTACCATTTATATAAAGCAACAACAATGTTCTATTCATTTGTTTCTTGTACATGTACCTGACAATTCTCCTGATACATCAACAGGTTGACCCATATAGTACGGTGAAAGCTGTCATAATATCTGTTTTCATAAGGTGCTTGTGTTTTCTCGAAACATGACCAAAGAAGTTATGTTAAAAAGACGGTTGAGGACTGCATCACAGAAAGATACGTTTTCAAGATGTCGTGCCTTTTCATAGCAATACTAAGAGACCATTCTTTCAAATGGTAGCTTCCTTTTGGTCAAAGTAAACATGGGTTACATTTAATGAGTAGATGATCCAAATCATGATGGGTACTGTTATGGTATTACGACTTTGTGAGTATTACTTGAGGATCGGATGGCGCAGTGGTAACGCACTCGCCTTCACCTAGCCGCTCGGGGTTCGATTCCTGGAATGGAAGTGAAAAGGTATGGGGTCACCTGCCCTCTCACTTCGGTGTCCTCCCAAACTAAGATCCTCGCGCGCTTCCATCTGAGCCAATAAGAGTGATTATTATAAGCTTAGACAATAACAGCAGTTAATATTTATTTATTGTAAAAAGGACACAAGTAATACCACAATATCTCCTAAAGGACGCTCACGGATTGCTGTCCTTGAGAATACAGGTAGTAAACACTGCCGGTGGACTTTAAGTCCATGAGGTTTGCCGTTACCTGCATGTCACCTTTATTTTCATTCGAATCGTGGTTCGGCTCAGAATATACATGTATTTGAGGTTCTTCTAAAAGTTACCAGATATAGGAAAATAACGAAATTAATCTAATTATGAGACTAGTGACATTACTTTACATCACTTTAGATATTCCTCAGTTGGTATCAAAATTTTAAGCACCTTAGCATCACTAGCGATACCTAGAAGGACGAAACAACTGTATGATGTAGCATCACTGTTGAGACCTAGAAGGACGAAACAACTGTATGATGTAGCATCACTTACGAGCCCTAGAAGGACGGAACAGCGGTATGATGTAGCGTCACTGTCGAGACCTAGAAGGACGAATCAGCTGTATGATTTAACAGCACTGTCGAGGTACCTAGAAAAACAAAACAGCTGTATGATTTAACATCACTGTCGAGACCTAGAAAGACGAAACAGCTGTATGATGTAGCATCACTTACGAGCCCTAGAAGGACGAAACAGCGGTATGATGTAGCGTCACTGTCGAGACCTAGAAAGGGAAAGGACGAACTATCTGTATGATGTAGCGTCACTGTCGAGACCTAGAAGGAAACCGCTGTATGATGTAGCATCACTGTCGAGACCTAGAAGGACGGAACAGCGGTATGATGTAGCATCACTGTCGAGACCTAGAAAGGGAAAGGACGAACTATCTGTATGATGTAGCGTCACTGTCGAGACCTAGAAGGACGAAACAGCTGTATGATGTAGCATCACTGTCGAGACCTAGAAGGACGGAACAGCGGTATGATGTAGCATCACTGTCGAGACCTAGAAAGGGAAAGGACGAACTATCTGTATGATGTAGCGTCACTGTCGAGACCTAGAGGGACGAAACAGCTGTATGATGTAGCATCACTGTCGAGACCTAGAAGGACGAAACAGCGGTATGATGTAGCATCACTGTCGAGACCTAGAAAGGGAAAGGACGAACTATCTGTATGATGTAGCGTCACTGTCGAGACCTAGAAGGACGAAACAGCGGTATGATGTAGCATCACTGTCGAGACCTAGAAAGGGAAAGGACGAACTATCTGTATGATGTAGCGTCACTGTCGAGACCTAGAAGGACGAAACAGCTGTATGATGTTGCATCACTGTCGAGACCTAGAAAGATGATGCTCTTTAATTTATGCTTTTGCTCTTCTCTATCTAATTCTATATTTGTGTGGAAAGATTCCAATTATTTAGGTATCTTTTGTACAGTCATAAAAGAGATAACCCGAACTTGAAAGTGAAGAAATCAGATCATTATAGTGCGTCCAATAAACACAAGTCTACATATTTTTTTATTCCACTAATTAGGCGATGTTTGTTCCAATGAAAATAAAAAAGATACTACAAATGTTCTTCGGTATTAAATAGCTCTTTATAATCTCAAAATCGATAGAGCACACGTAAGCTATTTGCATGAGAAAGTTTTACTTGGGAGATAATTGAATGTTCCTGAAGGGTAAGCGTCAACTGCTTCATCGACTACACCCGTCATATAAATCTAAGTCTATCCAAATGAACGGTGTCACGATTGTAATTGAGAATACGGTTAATAACAACGCAACCCGAGACATACTAACGACCATTAAACATATCTAAATTTGTATCGCACATGGGAATGAAATGTTTACCAATGAAATGACGATATTTCACAGCTACACCTACCAACATCTTTAAAGTCAGTATGGTAGCAGGAAACAGTTAATTTGCATTTTTCCTGAAATTATTGGTCATGTTTGAGATATACAGGTATATCAGTTTGGTTATGAAAATTACATCTGTACATCTATATATATATTTATAAACCACATAACAATTACATTAACAGTAGAGAGATAAAATTTGTGTAAATCAAATTTCCTCAGACTTTTGACATGTGATTTCCATGGTTACAATCTGAAAAAATGCTAAAAATGCTAAAATACTGCTAATACCAACCTAACACTACAACTTTATAGAAGAAATTTATTTCTGGGTCTTAAAATCAACAACACTGTCATAGTAACTAACTACTTACATTTCAGCAAATCCCAACTCGGAAATCCTTCACAACTGACCTCATGTAAACTCCATGAAATTTCACTTCCTGTAAAGCTAGGTTTTGGTGCGTAGACATAGATTCGAGACTGCCCAAATAGACAAAGCTAAAATATTATTAAAAAGGGAAAAAAATAAATACCACATTGTCAACTTCAACACAACAAAAGCAATTTATACAAGGATTTATTATTTTTAATTTTAATCAAAACCTTTATAATGGTGTAATCTAATAAACAAAAATGTCACCCATGGACACACCGAGAAACTGTGTACTGCTACCTATAGACACATTTTCCACAAAGTCGACGTAAAATAGGTTAATTAAATGCTTTAAGGTGTATTGTTGTTGTGGTGTATCACCTTAGTCAAAAGAGTGAAAAAAAAACCGTTTTCTTCAATTTATGTGTTTTTCTTTTAAACGAACCATGCAACTTTCATGTTATTATCACGAGTCCTAGAAGGACGAAACATCTGTATGATGCAATTTGATTCACTATTTGGCTCGACTGTATCTAAATGCGAGTTAAAATGCGCTATTAATATGCTTGTCTAATGATCAACATTCAGGACATGATTTTTTGTAACAAAGTAGCTTTGGCATTACTTGATGAAGATGATAGAGTGCTGTCTGATATTTCTTTTCATTGATGGATTCTTAATTATATAGTTATCATTTTAGAAGTTTTTTTTTTTTGTGCAGTAGTCACATGTCCGTTTAGCTAAATACAAAGAAAATCAGTGACTGTGGTTGACAAAAGTGGAGCACTTTGACGTAAATCAAACAATTAATGGGCTAGTCGATGTCTCATTAAATCCATATTCCTACAAGATTACCTCAATTATAGACCCAGTATTCGGTGTACGGATGTAGGTTAACCAGCGCGTATACCGATGATGATATTAACCGACATTCTACTAGGCCATTTAATACTTAGCAAACGATGTTACAACTTCGGATAGTGTGGCAGTGGTTACACGTAACGGTAACATTATGTGATCTGTAGGGTCATTTACATGCATTTTGTAGACACAATATAGGTAGGTTGATCAATAAAGTCATTACAATATTTTGTATACACAATGATACAGGATGATGATATACATCATGTAGACACAATATAGGTAGGATGATGATATACATGATGTAGACTCAATATAGGTAGGATGATAATATACATCATGTAGACACAATATAGGTAGGATGATGATATACATCATGTAGACACAATATAGGTAGGATGATGGACAGATATACATCAAGATGATGTATGACACAATATAGGTAGGATGATGATCATGACATGATATACATCAATGTAGGATGATGACACAATATAGGTAGGATGATGATATACATCATGTAGACACAATATAGGTAGACACAATATAGGTAGGATATACATCATGTAGACACAATATAAGTAGGATGATGATATACATCATGTAGAATAGGTAGGATAATGATATACATCATGTAGACACAATATAGGTAGGATGATGATATACATCATGTAGACACAATATAGGTAGGATGATGATATACATCATGTAGACACAATATAGGTAGGATGATGATATACATCATGTAGACACAATATAGGTAGGATGATGATATACATCATGTAGACACAATATAGGTAGGATGATGATATACATCATGTAGACACAATATAGGTAGGATGATGATATACATCATGTAGACACAATATAGGTAGGATGATGATATACATCATGTAGACACAATATAGGTAGGATGATGATATACATCATGTAGACACAATATAGGTAGGATGATGATATACATCATGTAGACACAATATAGGTAGGATGATGATATACATCATGTAGACACAATATAGGTAGGATGATGATATACATCATGTAGACACAATATAGGTAGGATGATGATATACATCATGTAGACACAATATAGGTAGGATGATGATATACATCATGTAGACACAATATAGGTAGGATGATGATATA